CCTGGAAAGGCTGGAGCCACAGCTGCTTCCTATTTTCCCAGAGCTGTACAGAGCATTAGTCATTTCACTGGGGCTGTTTTATTACTGTGACTACAGCCAGAACCCAGGCCAGCCAAAGCAGCCTGGATTCAGAATGTGCTTCAGGAGCTGGAAATGCTCCCCTGTCCCCTTTCTGAGTCCTGCTTTTTCCTCCCCACCCAAACAGCCCCAGAGTGCCTGCAGCAGTGTCCTACAGGGTCTGGGTTCCATCATGGACCGAGCTGACCCAGGGATGGCTGGCACTGCCACCCCAGCCATTAATCATTAACCAGCCTTGGGAGTGACCTTGACACTCAATTAGTCATGTAGTCCTTCCTGAAGGTGAAGCTTTTCCTCGTGCTGTGCTGCTTGGAGAGGGGATGAGGGTTGGATTTAGCAAGCAGGAGTGCTGCTGTGGTTTTGTGTCACTCTGATTTTTTAAGATTTTCTAAGCCTTCTGATGCTGACATTCTTGTAGCAAACTGTCTCACACACTTTATATAAATAACTTATTGTTTTACATTCTTTTATAGAGGAAGAAAAATTTGATGGACTGTTGGTTTTTCCAGTGTCATTGGAGAGGTGGCACTTTCGCCTTCCAATCCACTGTCACTTTTGGGAAACTATAAATGTTAGAGTTTTCTTCACCTTGAGAGCAGTGGTGTGTGCACTTGTTGTTGTTTCATGTCCTATAGTGACAATTTTGGCAGTGCACAAAGGGCAGTGGGTGTAAGGGAGACCCATCTGCCTTCACCCACCAGCTTTGCTGCCTGGGTTGTGCCAGGAAAAGCTTTGATTTTAGCTCTGGAGGCTCCAGGTGCCCCTGGCTGTAACATCCACTCAAGGGCCAGCCACTGATGTTCAGTTTCCAGGTTCTCTGCCCTCAGTCAAGAGCAGCATTTGACCTTTTGTCCTGGTTCAGGGCAAATTTGGGAGAGAACCCCCAAAGGGGCTCCTCTAGGAAAGCAGATTCAATTGGCCCCTCCCCTCAACTGGTCCGGGAGAAACTACCTCCTTGGAGAAAAGTGGAAAAAAACTGTTTATTAAACAATAACATCTAAACAATATTAACCAATAAAACCCCTTGCTGCTCCAAAAGAGATGACAAACTGAGAAAGTCCCTCTCCGGGTTGCAGCTCAGCTCACTCAGTCTCTGATCAGTCCGTCAGTGCTGGAAATGTCGCAGGCCAGGCCCGGCCCGGTGGGCCTCAGGTGCAGCTGCCGGTGCTCCCCTGGTGTTCAGTCCAGAGCGGGTTAAACAGGGCCAAAGAAAAGGAAAAAAACCACAGTCCAGGGAACTTCTTTGCCTCAGCTAGCTAACACTAACTAAAAGCAAAGGAGAGCTCTGTCCCGTTGTCTCTCCATCCGCAGACAACACAGCCCAGGAGCAGGAATGAGGAGGAGTGAGTGCAGTGTCTGAAAACAAGCTGTGCTTCTTCTGTCCCCCCTTCACTCTCTGGAACAAGTCTTAAAGATGCAAAACTTATTATTCAGCATAACAGAACAAGATGATTTGGGATAAAAGCATCATATAGTCAACCTAGGACACCTTTGCAATTTCATTTATAACACCTTAACAAGTGGTGATCACCCAGAGAGCAGCTCCAAGCCAGAAGCTGCCTTTGCTCTGCAGTGGCCACTCCCAGCCCACAATCAAGGGGTGAACTTTTCTCCTCTTCCCATGCAGAGAGGAAGATTTCCCTGGAAATGGTGGCAATGGGAGAGGCTGGCCCTGGAGGTGGAAATTGAGTACTTGCATGTTATTAATGTGTGGGCAGAGAGATGACCTAGAGCTGCTTCTCTCCCCCCTTCACAGGTAGAGCTGTGTCTGCCCAAGGAGGCAAATCCATCCCATAACCTGTGATTTTCCCTGGTGAATTCCTGCCCCTGAGGTGGTTGACTCACACTTCTTGCCAATTTGCATTTCACCTAATGCTGGGCAAAACTGGTTGACTGAGATAAGGGCTGCCCCAGATGCTGCTGTTGAAACCCCACAGTGAATGCCCAAAGATTCTTAACATCCCTTTTTTCTTCCTTTTTAAATTCTGAAAGTTTCTGCCCTTCATAATTCCAGCACAGATGGGAAGATTTCACTCCATGAATACCAGATTTCATGTCTGGACAGGAGTTGAATTATGAGATCATCTGATTAAAACCCCACATTAAATCATTAATGAAATGAGCTGCTTGATTATATAAGTCGTATTCCTATTATTTCTAACTTGGCCACTGGCTGAAAGAAGCTGGAAACTCCAAAGAAACAGCCAACCTTGTCTGTGATTCACACTTCCCCAGCTAAAGCACTTAGGAGGAGGGGAGAGACACCATTTCTCAGAAAAGTGGGGACTCAGCACTGATTGTGAGGTTTCAGATGGAGAAAGGATCCTCAGGAGTGAAGGAGATCCAAGACCCTTGTTTTTAGTCAATTAAGTTTGATTTGGGATCTGTGGAGCACTGATTGTGAGGTTTCAGATGGAGAAAGGATCCCCAGGAGTGAAGGAGATCCAAGACCCTTGTTTTTAGTCAATTAAGTTTGATTTGGGATCTGTGGAGCACTGCTGGCTCTCAGAGGGCACTGCCTGTGGCCAGAGGAATCTCAGCATCCTTTGGGTTAATTTTTCCAGGAGAGGTTGGGATGCTGAGAGGAGCAGGGATCCAGCAGTGTCTCACAGCTGGCCAGCTGCTGGTTTCCTGAGCTGTGAGCAGGAGAGCAAGGTGCCTGCTGCCTTCCAGAGGGAGAAGTGTCAGCAGTGCTAAAAACCTCCACTGCCCTCAAATATAAAGTATCTTTACTGGCTTTGGTTTCAGGTTCTTCCTGTTTTGATGCTGGAAGGAAAAACCCCTAAGTAAATTAAAAAGATAGCTGAGGGAAGGAGGCTTCATTTGGGATTTTCTTTGATAGGGAACTTTTGAATATGATATTAAAAGCAAGGAGAGGTTTTTAGCTAAAGATCTGAACTAAGACTATGTTTTTGTGCTTAGTTCTTGATTGCCCTCCCCTCCAGGGCTGAAGGTGAGTCAGGACACCATTTAGAGCAGTGTGTGTCTCCTCTGTGGACACTGAAATATCTTCTTGGATCTGGCTTTTAATCTGTGTGGGTGTCAATCACCTTTCTGGGAATTGAAGTGAAAAATATCTTATTTTGTGCTTGCTGTTTGTTTTCCTGCCTGGAAGCTCTCTGGAGGACCAGAGAGGGAGCTGAAAGTTGCTGAATGTGTTCCTGAGGCCTCATGGACTGAGTCTCCAGCAGTCCTTGTGTGTTCAGGAAGGAATGAGCACTTCTGATTCCTGTTCCTGAGTCCTGCCAGGCTGTGCCTGCTCAGGGAGCAGAGAGGTGCCGGGGCTGTGCTCAAAACACCCCCAGAAACATCTGCACCTCCCTGCTGCCTGAGCCAGGATCCAGGAGGCCTGGATGGACCAATGTTCCTGCCTGTGGCAGCATTTTTGTGCTCTTCCTTAGTGTTCAACTTCTTCAGGGTGACCAGCACTTGTTGCTCGTAACGCGAGCAATAAAAACCTTCTGGCAGGGATCACAGCTCTGCTCTTCCCCTCCTGCAGAAGAACACTGAGCTGTGTTTTCTCTGGAGGCTGGGCCTGGATTTGTGAGCAGGACTGGCTCACAAAAAGGCTGCTGTGGGTTGTGGCCCTGCACAAACACAGCCTGTCCCATGGCTGCTGCAGCGGAGCCAGCTCTGATAGGATCTAACTCCACGTTTTTATGGACATTGCTTTGGAATTTACTTGTTTCTGGAAGTTTCCCAGTAAACAAGCTGGGTTCTGAAGTTGTTTCTTGGGCAAAAATCTTGGCAGTAGGATCAGGGAGCATAGCTAAGAATTTTTCCTCCACAACTGGTGGGTATGGTAGAGGATGGATGGGAGGCCTCCACCCATCAGAGGGGCAGCTGAAGACACAAAAACCACCTCAAATATTTTCAGGCACCTTTGTGTGGGCAACCTGAAACCTGCTTCTTCCCCATGGAGGCAGCAGAGCTTGGGGAGATGCTGGGATTTGTGTAAAATAGACATTCTGGTTATTGATTGGATCACTCTGTACCTGCATGGAGCCTGGTGCCCTGCCCTGAGATACCTGTCTGAATTTACACCTGAATGTTGGCCTGAAGTAGAAGGGCTTCATTCCTTGGGCTCCCCCAAGGCCAGGAGACCTCACCTGACCTGACCTGACGTGCAGTGACTGGCCCAGGGGGGCACAGGACTCCTGGAGGTCCTCTTGTGTCTCCTCCACCCCTCGTGCCATGGTGGGAACAAACCAGTACTGGTGTCAGGTCCAACAGCCCAGTGGATCCTTTCCATGTGTTAAAATCCAGGGAGAATGATCCCAAATGGATCCTTTCCACCTCTTTAAATCCAGGCAAAATAATCCCCAATGGATCCTTTCCACCTGACCAAATCCAGGGAAAACGATCCCAAATGGATTCTTTCCACCTCTTCAAATCCAGGCAACATGATCCCCAATGGATCCCTTCCATGTGTTCAAATCCAGGGAAAATGATCCCCAATGGATCCTTTCCACCTCTTCAAATCTAGGGAAGATAATCTCCAATGGATCCTTTCCACCTCTTCAAACCCAGGGAAGATAATCTCCAATGGATCCTTTCTACCTCTTCAAATCCAGGGAAAATAATCCCCAATGGATCCTTTCCACCTCTTCAAATCCAGGGAAAATGATCCCCAATGGATCCTTTCCATGTGTTCAAATCCAGGGAAAATAATCCCCCACCCAAACAAGTGTCCTATCAATGTTTGCTGGGCTGGGGTCCTGCACTTTGCTTGGCCCTTCATGACCATGGATAGCTGGGAATGGGGGTTCATCCCACCTAAGTGTTAATAGCAGATATAGAGACACTTCAAAACGTGGATTTTCTGTGTTAAACCTGCTCTGATGGCAAGAGGAACCCAGCACACTCACTGTTACATCTAATTATATAATTATTTTGGATTTTCTTCTTCCTTTGCCTTCTAGCTCAGCCTGCAGGATGACAGAAGGTGACACGAACCTCCCAAGCATCGAGAGGAAGCTGGGACTGCAGATATGGGGCATAGAGGTAGGACAAGAGGGATGGCACATGTCCTCTGTCACAGTCATGGCACATGTTCCTCTGCTCATCTGTGTGTTTATGTTTCAAGGAAGATTAATTCTTGCAGTAATCTGTGTGGGAAAAGAGGGTCCTAAAGATAAGATAGAGTGGGAAACAGACTGAGTATTTCCCCATGAAATGTTCAACATGTTATTGTTGTGGTCTCCTGCTCTGTAAAACGGAGATGATAATGTTTACAAAGGAAACAGGAATGTGGTGGGACTGAAGTCATTCCTCCAGCACTGGAGGCTTTTCTCACCCCTTTTTGGAATCAGTGCAAGGCTGCTTTAACACACCAGAAATTCCCTGTTTCATCAAGATGGGTGATCCTTAGTCCATACTAGCAGATGCCATGGGGAAGACACAGATTTTTGCAGCAAAGGCATTCCATGGAGTCTATTTGTACTTCTTTCTTTCTGCCTATTTGTACTTCTTCCTTGCCTTTCCTACTCTGTGTCACTGCAAGGAGAGACCCTGCAGCTTGTGATTTTGCCTTTTTGCTGGTGGTGGTATCTGATTTTGGATTGGACCCAAGCTTGCTCAACTCTGCTTTTTCTGCCCCAGTTCACCCAGAACATTCCCCTGCAATGAGAGTGGGTTTAGTCTGAGGTGCAGAATCCTCTCAGGGATGAGGGAAGAGTCTTCAACATCTCCAAGTGATATTCAGCAGGTCACAGCCATGTTCCAAATATCACAGAGCCTTCACCTTTCCATTTCTCTGCAAAGCACTGAGCTGAGCTGCTTCCAGAGGATCTGTAATTAGAGCTGTGTGGGTTCACAGGGGTCAGGCTGGTATGCTGGGAGACAAGTCAGGCCAGCAGAAGAATGCATGGCTCTAATTTCAGGGAACCTCAGAGCCAGCTCCAGCCCAGGAGCTGCGTGGGGACTGCTGGGTGGCACAGCCAGGCACCTGTGCTGGGCAGGCATGGCTAATTATTGGTGGTTAATTATGCACTTGTGCCAGAGGAAATCTGCAATTAGGGTCTGGAGAGGCGAGGACCATCAGTGTCCTCAGCTCTGTCTTTTCTCAGCTGGTTGCCCTGAGCTCCTAGCAGAGGGGTTATCCTTATAAAGTGCTGAAAGTTTGAGGAAAACTCACGGGCACAGAGCAAAGAACTGTGCCCACAACTAAATCTAGGATGAGATGTGCTCACTCTCCTGGGGAATTCCCACAAATATTCCCACAAATAAAAAAATTGTAGGGAAATTAAATAAAATTTGTAAATAAAAAAAAATTGTAGGGAAATTCCCTACAAATGCAAGCTCTGGAGCATTTCAGCCTGAGCCCCAGGTGTAGATCTACAGGATTGCACAAGGGCCAGGACACTAAAACCTACGTGTCAGTCTGTCCAAGCAAAATCATCATTTTCCATTCTCACTCCTTAGTATTTTGGATATTTCCTCCAGAAGTGGCTTTTCCCAGCTCACAAACTCAGCCCTGATTCTTCCTTCTCCAACCCCTGATTGTCACCTCAGTGCTTTGTGCAGCCCAGCCTGTCCTGTTTCATACACACCAACTTCTGGCTCTTCACTTTTAGCAATGACCCCACCTCTGATTTCCTTACAGAACATGAAGATGGTTCCTGTACCTGAAAAAGCTTATGGGACTTTTTTTGAAGGAGACTGTTACATCATCTTGCACGTAAGTAAGACAGCAAACACTGCTCTCTGTTGGGCAACTGGCTCAACCCTTTTTATTTAAATTTGCCTTGGTGTACCTGTCCTGTGGAAAAAGCACTGTTGAAGTGGTTTTGCATGTGTGCTCACCATCTAATCATGGATCTGAATTTCACGTGGCTTTGTGACAACACTGCCTGTTTAGTAAATCAGAAGTTCAGAGGAGCAGTTAACTTAGTAATTCATTAAAAGTGTTTATCTTCCAATCAACTGAGTCATGCCCAGGCATGGCAAAATGACCAGTACATTCCTGGAAAACTCAATCAAGGACCACATTTAAATGATTTGTGGGAGTGCTTGGGGGATGTGGGATGTGACCAGCTGGAGGCTCTCATTTTTAGCAGGTGATGTGGGCCATGAGGATGCTCCATGTCATGTGTCACGTAAGCAGCAGAGGCTCTGCAGCCCATCCCATGTCCCCATAAGGACACTTCTGCCCCACCCAAATTTGGTGCAGAGCTACCTGAGCTGGCTGTGAAGGGCTGCTGAGAACCAGCTCTGCTCTGTGCAAACTGCCTCGTGGTCTCAGATTTTGGCAGGAGGATGATGTGTTCCGCTCACCTCCTAAAATCCCTTCCAAATCTCTTCATCTGCCTAGAGCAACTCAAGTCCCATTGAACCCAAACACAGGGTGGAAACCAGAAGCATTTCCCACTTCCTGGGTCTGAGTGTGCCTCGTGCAAACATCTCTGTCGGTGGAGAGGCAGCAACACCTCCAGTGCCCCACAGTACCCAACTGTACATCCCCCATGTGCCAGGATGGGAAGGCAGGCTGGGATAGCAGCACAGGATGTGTCTCCTGCTCAAATGCCCCACACACATGCCTCTAGGGTCCCTTCAGAGTGCTGAAAGCTTGAGTTACAGGCCCATGAACAGAACAGAATACTAGATCTAAACTAAAGTTTAGAACACAATACTGGAGTCCTTGCAGGGAGCTGGCAGTGTACATATGGATTTTGATGCTCAACTTCTGTTACAACAACTTCCCCAGGCAGAAGAGCCCTTCATCAGCCCACTATTCTCCTTTTCCCTGGAAGACAGGAAGGAGGGTAAAAACACTCATCTGTGCATTCTACTTCTTTATTGGAGCCTTTCCAAATAATGATTGTCCGTGGGACAATGGGACTTTGATCATCTTCAGTAGCAATGTATTAAATTGAGTGATTTTTTCACAAATTAATTATCTGTGCCTAAGGAACAGAGCTGTGTTTTATTCAACTCCTTCTGCTGTGTTTCGCTGTGGTATCACTGCACAAAGCAAATAAACAGAATTTAGTGTCAAATCCAGCTTATGAAATGAGCTTTTATTACCTTTCCCAGGTGTCCACAATGGGATTTAACACAGTGGGTGCAGAAGAATAACTGGCACAACTCAAATAACACTGAGCACACCTTCTTCTCAGCCTGCTTGCCTCCTTTTTGTAGGCTGCTGGGGTTTTCTGTAATAAGATGAATCCCAGCATGCACACACTGGCTCAGCTTCATTTGGAGTTATGTCTGTTTTGCAAGTCAGCAGGAATTCTGAGGCAGTTTGTGCTGCTCTGTCATGTGCTGTGAGAACAACAACAAGAAAGCGAGGGTAGCATCTCCAGGCAAATAAATAGCAGTGTGCATTGCATTTCAAAAGATATCCTATGAGAAGAATCTGCTTTAAGTCTTAATATCAAAATGTACGACAGTAGAACAAGCTGAACACATTAATTGCACGTGCGCTCAGTTTTCCATGATAATAGGAGTTATAAAAGAATATTAAACAGAAACATCCTTCAGTTTGGTTTATAAAACCCATAAATTGCTCTGCTGAATGAGGAGAGCAGGGAGTACCTGAGGCTCTGTCCTCTCTGCTCTTGCCCAGGAGAAAGGCAGAACTGGGAAAGGGCTCTCTGGTCATTTTGTTTTCCGACACAAAAATGTTTTCCAACACAAAAATGTTTTCATTGTAGAACAAGCTGAACACATTAATTGCACGTGCGCTCAGTTTTCCTTGATAATGGGAGTTATAAAAGAATATAAAACAGAAGCATCCTTCAGTTCAGTTTAAAAAACCCATAAATTGCTCTGCTGAATGAGGAGAGCTCCAGGTTGAGCTCCCAAGGAGTACCTGAAGCTCTGTCCTCTCTCCTCTTGCCCAGGAGAAAGGCAGAACTGGGAAAGGGCTCCATGGTCATTCTGTTTTCCAACACAAAAATGTTTTCAGACACAAAAATGTTTTCAGGCATGCTCAGTTTTCTTTGATAACAGGAGTTATAAAAGAGTATAAAAGAGAAACGTCCTTCAGTTCAGTTTATAAACCCATAAATTGCTCTGCTGAATAAGGAGAGCTCTGGACTCAGTTCCCAGGGAGTACCTGAGGCTCTGTCCTCTCTCCCTTGCCCAGAGAAAGGCAAGAACTGGGAAATTCCATGTTCACTCTGTTTTCCAGCACAAAAACGGGCTGTGCCTTCACCTGGACTTGTCCTTCCCCTCTCTTGCAGACCAAAAGGAGCTCCCGTGGCTCGGCTGTGGATCTGCACTACTGGATTGGCCAGGACTCCTCGCAGGATGAGCAGGGCGCTGCGGCCGTGTACGTGACGCAGCTGGACGCGGCGCTCGGGGGCAGCCCCGTGCAGCACCGCGAGGTGCAGGGACACGAGTCCGAGACCTTCCAGAGCTACTTCCGACACGGCATCATGTGAGTGGCACCCAGTGACCCACAGAGAGCTGGGCTGTGGCCCCTGGGGTTCCTTCTGCTTCTCTCTAAGTCTCAGAGACATCCATATCTCAAAAATGTGGGAAATCTAGAATGCACAGAATGAGCGGGGTTGAGGAGACCTTCTAGATCATCGAGTCCAACCCAGCCCCAGCACCTCAACTAAACCATCTCCCCACATCCAGTCTGTTTATAAACACATCCGGGTATGGGGACTACATCACCTCCCTGGGCAGCCATTACAGAACTTTATCACTCTTTCTATAAAAAGATTTTTCCTAATATCCAAGCTATATTTCCCTTGGTGCAGTTTGAGGCTGTGTGCTCTGGTTCTGTCAGTACTTCCTGGAGAAAGAGCCCAACCCCAGCTGAGCACAGGCACCTCTCAGGGAGCTGTAGAGAGTGATGAGGGCACCCCTTGACGAGGCCTCTGGTGTCAAGATGACCTTGAGGTGTTATAAAGTCTCTTTTCCCAGTCCCGAGACCAAAGAAGAAGACAGGATTCCTCAGCTGTCATTCTCAAGGCTGTTTTCTCTTATCTAATACATTGTCTTTCTGACCTGCTGAGGTCTGTCCAGCAGGTTGGGTTGTGGCACACTGACCACCCTTGGGGTGGTGTTATCTTTTTCTTCTAAAAACTATGTGTACTTTATTTACAATAATTTTCCAATACCTATCACCTATGTTAGGCAGTCTGTCTCTACTCTAAACCAATCCAAAAGTGTCACCATCACAGCAGAAGATGGAGGGCAAGAAGAAGAAGAAGGACAGGACACACCCAGATCCCTCTATCTTGCCTCTTGAACCCCCATTCTAAATCCCCAAAATTCTACTTTTTCACCCTGTGGTAAATTCTCTGTCATTCTATTCAAACCCTTGTGGCTTGTAACTCCTCACACAAAGTTGGTAATCGTTTCCATGGGTTAAAACCAAAGGCACAGGTGTCTGACTCCATGCCAAGGTTTCTGAGCCTCCTGCCAGGATCTCCAGTCCTCCAGGACAGCCAGAGGAATGACCTGGGTTCTGACAACCCCTGAGTCTCCTTTTCTCCAGGCTGAGCACCCCCAGCTCCCTCAGGGGCTCCTCTCAGGGTTTGTGTTCCCAGCCCCTCTCCAGCCTCGCTGTCCCCTCTGGATGTGCTCAGTGTCCCAAGGTCCTTCCCAGCTGAGGGGCCAGAGCTGGGCACAGCACTCGAGGTGGCACCTCACCAATGCCAAGTAGAGGGACAGAATGACCTCCCTGGGTCAGCACTGATGCTGGTTAAAATTCAGAACAAAGAATTCCCATTTTGAAGGAATTACTTATTCAGTCTGGAGCCGTGGCATTCTGTTCCACTGGTCATTTTCCCAGATTTTTGCAGTAAATGAATCTTAACCTCCCTTTTGTTCACCTCAGGGTCTTCATTTCTCTCCTCCACAAACTTTCAAGTGCCCATTCAGAGCACTTCAGACTAATATCCACCTTGCAGTGAAATGCTGATTTGGCTCATAGTGGGTGTAATATTCCTTAAGTGGAAGGAAAAAGTGACTGAACTTTTGTCATCTAAAAGATAATGTTGAATATATGATATGTTGATATGTTGAATCCAATCCCAGGGTCTTTGCTCACTCTTGGGTTTTTGGAAGGATTCCAGTTACTGTCCTCCAAGGGAGATCTTCACTGGCAATAAACAGCCTGAGTGCTCTGGTTTCAAACAGCTGAAGGAAACTCAGAAATCCTGGGTCAATATCCTCCATCCCAGTCTGGCTGGATATCTCTGTCTTGTGCATCTCAACAACCTCTCATGAATCTCCTCAGAACTTTTCTGAGAGAGATAAGTGCTTTTAGCCTCATCTTGAAGATGAGTAGGGGACAATGAAGGACTGAAAATCAGACCCTCAAAACCAGTCTGTTTGGAAACCTGTCTGCCTCTGAAATCAGCATGGGTTAGAATTCATCTGGGTCTAAACCACATCCCCGTGGTCAGTGAGGAAGTCTGAGGCAGAATGAGAAATTAAAGGAAGCTCTTTCCACATCTTGGCAGGTAGACTCATCACCACAGCATCCTTCTGTGGGTATCTTAAGCTGGGCCAAACAAGTCTAGAGTGCTGTGAGTCACATTTCTGACCACATTAGCCAGTACCTTTCCACCTAAAATAGTGGAAAGTTTCCACCTACAATAGCCAGTACCCTTCCACCTAAAATACATCAGTTACCCACATGGCAAAAACTACAATCAACAATTGTTCCCTTTTTCCCCCTAAATAGCATTGTGTCAGTTATTACTGCAGTGTGAGCAATGGATCTGTTTTCTAAAATGGTCTAGGGTATGTAAGAGTGGATTAAACTCACCCAAAAAAACATTAAAAGGGCTGTGGGACTTCTGTGTGAGGTTGTGCCCTCTCATGATTGTGCAAAGTTGCCCCAAGAGAGGGGATGACATTGTGGCATGAGGTGATAACAGTGCTGAGAGTGGCTGCTGCAAAGTGTGTGTTTAAGGATGGAAGAAAAAAACTGGGAGGTAAAATCTGAGAGAAACACAGTGTCCTGTACGTGTTTACAGTTTTGTTCTGCTTCTGGCCACAGTTTCCTGTCTAGGCTGCTTTTAATAAAATAGCTATTTTGAAGAAAACAAAATTCTAGCAGGAAGTTTGTTTTCTGCCAAGTCTGTTTCATATTCTAATTGAATGCTTATGGAATATTTCAATTTTGGGATGCCACTGCCATGATCAATGGGATTTTCAGTTTGGTTGTGTTACAATTCCACTACCATCACTGACCTGCCTGTTCATCTTCTCCCAGGATGTTTAATGCTTGGAATCAATGATCTTGAAAGTCTTGTCCAACCTAAATGATTTTATGATTCTATAATTGTGTGCACAGCAGCAACACAACACCCATAGGAGGCAGACAGACACCTTGATAAGGACCATGAACAGCAGTGAGGAGCACAATATTTGCCACTGCAATTTTAGGACTTTGAGATTATTTTGCCTCTAGATTTTTCAGTTGCCACCAAAATCTTGGGATGTTCTCAGAGGATAGAGGGGAAGGTATTTTCTAACCAGCTCTAACTCTTTATTCTCTGCTGCACAACAGCTACAAGAAGGGAGGAGTGGCTTCAGGATTTAAGCACGTGGAGACCAACATGTACAACATCAAGCGTCTCCTTCACGTCAAGGGCAAGAAGCACGTGTCAGCCACAGAGGTAAGAAGAAGACCTTGCTCTTCTTATGGATCATTTCTCCTTCCCTCTCCTCCTTCCTACACTCATTTTTGAGCAGATTTACAGGTGGGTATCTCATTTCTGCTCAAGAACTTCTATTTCAGGACAGTTTTCAAGTCCTTACTTAAGGGTTTGGTGTTAGCACTGTGCTCAGCGAGGAGCTGAGTGCCAGCAGAATGAGCAGTCACTGCAAACCTGTTCTTACATCCCCATGGCTGGGACTTGTCACCTGCAGCTCTCCTCGTCCTCCCCAAACTCTCTCATTTCCCTGGGACAGGTAGCACTCTCCTGGGACAGTTTCAACAAGGGAGATGTGTTCTTGCTGGACCTTGGTAAAGTGCTGATCCAGTGGAATGGACCCAGCTGCAGCATTGCTGAGAAATCCAGGGTGAGTACAGGCAAAAGACACTTGGCTTAAGGTGACATTTTTTTATGCCTATGGAAAAAAATGAAGAAAAAAGCTCACAGTGTTTTCACAGTGAAAATCTTATGACCAACAACATAGATATGACCAAATAATCATAAATTTTCTACTTGCCCATCTGGTGGTTTTAGAGGCCCATGGAATTGCTTTGCTCCAGTTCAGACCTGGCCTCAAGTTGCATTTCACAGGCAGCCAAGGGCACATCACTAGTTCCAGCCCCAGAAAGTCATCCAGCTCTCTCTGGAGCTCATCTCCATCCCTCTGTGCCCTGTTGTTTGCATGACAAGGATTAGAAAGTCAGCAGCTCCAGTAGGTTTAGCTGCAGTAACCATCTCGGGGTAGATTAATTTTAATTTTTTGTTTACAGCATCAACAGGGAATTCTGGCTTGGTCAGTATGAGACAAGCTGATAGGTCACATCTATAGCTCTTAATGCACTTTGCAAAGGGATCATTACCCTTATTTTACTGATACAGGAGCCAAGATACAGAGATCTAATAAAGCAAGATACAGCAACAGGTCATCAGCAAAGCTGGTAGCCAAGCTTGTGGTTATTATAATATTAAAAGGCAGATGGGTCTGCTCTGTCTGTGGTGTCCCCTGATGAACTGGGAGAGGGGGAATCTCCACAGGGAATGCCATTTTTGGGGCACAGTGGAGATCCTCTTGGTGCTGAAGAAGGTACAAAGCAATCCTCAACACGGGAGGGGGAGCAGGTTCGTGGCTGCTGGGTTCATCTCAGGCCTCAAGCAGGTCATCCCCTATGTCTGATAAAGAGACAGGAGATAAAGAGAGGAGTCTTTCAAAGCTGTTGCAGTAGGAGTCATGGGAACAAAAAAAAAAAATCAATTGAAGATGGAGATTTCAGCCTAATTAGCTGCTTGACATTTCATGCTGCTTTTTTCACAGAAGACATCGACGTTTTTGAACACTTGAAACATTTAAATGTAAAATGCCACTGTGGGGTGGCCGGGGTCCTGCAGCTCTGCAGCATCCTGCCTCGTTGGCCTCAGCATGTGTTCATCTGTCCCCCAGACCATCCCAGGGGACCACTGGACCTGCTGGAGCACAGTCACACGCAGGCAGTGCCTGTTGTGGCTCCCACATGCCTGTGGCTCCCATGTGCCTCCTCCCATGTGCCCTGTGGGAGCAGCATCAACAGCGACTGCAATTAGCAATATTTTCCTACGAGTTAGTTAATAATCAGGCATTACAAACATATCTGCTTCTTTAATAGCTAAATTTGGAAGGCACTAGGAGCTTCAGGGAGCTGTGGTAACCTGGCTGGGGCTGTTGGCTCTCAGTCACTGCTTGGGGCTCGCTGGGTGTGGGGTGTGTGTCAGGACTTACCCCTGTGGGTCCTTGTGCAGGGTCTTGCTCTGGCTCGGAGCATCAGGGACAGCGAGAGGGGCGGCCGTGCTCAGATTGGCATCATTGACAACGAGAGGGACTCTCCAGACCTGATGCAGATCATGAGGATGGTGCTGGGCGAGAGGCGCGGGGAGCTCCGCGACGCCGTCCCCGACACCAAAGCCGACGAGCTGCAGAAAGCCAACGTCAGGCTCTACCAGTGAGTCCTGTGCTCCCAACCCTGTCTCTTGTCACAGGGGGCTCTGTGGGGTCTAACTCAGCTTGGTGGCTCTGTCTTGCAGTGTCTATGAGAAGGACAATGACCTGGTGGTGCAGGAGATCGCCACCCGGCCCCTGACACAGGATCTGCTGCAGCACGAGGTGAGACAAAGCCAGAGTGGCCTTTGCAGCCAGAAAAGGAGGCTGTGGCTCACTTTGTTTTCAGCTGAGCACCTGTTTCCTGAAAATTATCAGGCCTTCCATCACTAGGAGAGCTTAGCCCTGCTGTTAGGTTAGGACAGCTTAGCCCTGCTACAATCTCAGCAGTCGGAGGTAGGTGGTGTGCTGAAGCTGTTCCAAGAAGAGATGGCAAATTGGTGCTCTGAGCCAAGGATTATATTAGCTTGGCAATCACAGTGAGGGAGAGCTGCATACCAGGAATAAATTCCAGATGGAATGAAGGCTTCTTAATACCTGATGTTCAAGGATAGCCTTCCCTCTGCTGACTCCAGAGCAAATAAATACTCTGATCACGAAACCAGAGAGATTTGTTTTCCTGTCATAGCAAGTGGCTGGTCTCAGTGACCCACCCTGGAAGGAGATTTCCTGACAGACCCTCTGTGCAGAGTTTTTCAGAAAACAGAGGCTTTTCCTCTGACTGAAATTTGGCAGAGAATTGCTCATCCTTAATTCTCTGCAGTGCAGACCAGCCTATTCCAGCACAGCACTGCGCCGCAAGGCTCCCACTCCCCTTTGCATCCTGATGTCAGCCTTGTTAAAATCTCAGCCCCCCTTTGCAGACATGTGAAGCCCTTGTTCTTCTTTCATAGTTCAGTTTAAAAAAGGAGCAGTCTTTGGTCCCACAGTGTGTTTGGAGCTGTCTGCATGGGGATGGGCTCAGCACACCCCTCATTCCCTTTGGGTTTGGGATCCTGCTTCCTTCACAGCAGTGCAACACTGAGCTTCAGATCAGGGATATCAATGAGGACAAAATGTTCATGCGGAAGATGTCTAACTTGGACCTTTCCTGCTCCTTTAGAAGCAGATTTGGGCATAAATGCAGGGAGCAGCAGGGTAGGGTAGATATTTCAGTGTACACTTCTCTTGGCCTCTTTTAGAGCTGGTGGTGTTTTTGGTTTGAGAACACCTCCTGTGGAGGGGTAATAGACAGTTTTGAGCAATGCCTAAGAAAAATACATACTTCACTAGTTAAATCAGCAGCCTGGGCCAGTTGTGCCCACACCTGTGAACCCTGCCCAGTGGGGTTGGTGGTAGTTGCACTCCATTTATAAACCATGGAAATTAATTAATTAATAGTTGTACTCCATTTATAAACCAAGAAATTCATTCTCTGTCACCTCTGATAATGGCTGCACCAGGGTTAGAGCTCTGCAAGGCAGAGAAATGAGCTGGATATGCATCTAACTTAAATCTTCAACAAGGATCCACCTGATTGGGCTACAAATGATGAGCTTTTTCTGCACAGAGTTTTTCACATTTGGTTTTTTTCTGTTTCCTGTTTTTTTGGTTTAACCTCAGGACTGCTACATTTTAGACCAAGGTGGCTTCAAAATTTATGTCTGGAGAGGAAAAGCCTCCAGCCCAGAAGAGAAAAAAGCAGCATTCACTCGAGCTGTGGTGAGTTGTAATAGAGTGCAAACGATGTCGTGGGCGGTTGATACGTGCTGATCTAGATCTGACCACTAATTACAATTAAGTGTAGCTCTTGGGGAGCTGGCCTGTGTAATAACAGAGAAGTTGAGTGTCTAGGGGAAGCATGATGACATAAATACAAAATTGTTAGTCATCAAGTTGTGCTAGGACTAAGACCTGCCACTAAAACTAAGAAAAAAATGGATAAAGAAAATCAAGTATAAAAGAAAATACTTTTCTAAGTGGTAAATAGTGAACTTCTGGGAACTGTTGGTTCAAGGTATGGTGGAATCAGAGAGGATCAGCAGGGTCAATAATTTGACCAAAAAAGGTGCATAAACAGATAATAAAGGGGCTCTGACATCCATGTGTTATTTTCTGTCAGAGCATTCATCAGCTCTTCCTCTAAGAAAAAATTAGCCTCAAGGGAGCCTGAGCAAGTGAGATACTTGGTATTTTTTTACAAGTTAGCATGCTGAAGTGAAGACTATGAGGGAACACGGCTTTTATTTAGACATTTACTTATGGGAAGACCATAAATGGCTTCATCTTCCATGAGATCTAACTAGGACATACTGAACTTCAGTGGGTCCACCTTCAGTAAGGTATTACCTGGAGATTCCAGCTTCAATAGGATTGCATCTATTGTCTCAGAGAAGAAAAGCTTAAAAATGCCTTAAAACTTATCTCACTGTCCTCTGTGCTCCTTTCAAGAGCTTGACTCAGACTCATTTCAGTAGGCAATCATCTCTGCAAATTCTGGCCCTGAGCTACACATGTAGAACAAAAGATATGTCTGTCTTTCAGCGTGGCAGGTGGGAGGGATGGGAGAACCATCTGCTCTGCTTTTCCCTGAGGGCAGTGTGTGGCTGCAGCTTTTACAGCACAAGTTGGATGCTCAGAAAGCCACAATCAGGCTCCTTCCCACAGCTGCCAGCACTGCACCTCGGGTCATCCTGGAGCCTTCTGAGATAAACACAGGAGCAGTTCCCAAAACTGAACCAGGATTTTGGAATTGTGGCAGAACACAGAACGTTTTCTTCCCACTCGTATTGCATCAAGCACCTCTGTGGAAATACGGTAGCGCTATTGCAAAGAAATAATATGGGTTTAAGGAAAGAAATAGAAAAAAAGAAGAAAAAAATATTTGTAAGAGTTTATTCCCTTCAGAACAGACTTCATGTTCTGGAGGTGCTGAGCTACCTCCACCCCTTCACTCCTATGCTCTCTACCAGGCAGAGCAGTTTTCCTGGCTTAGAGAGGGACAAAAAGTTTGGAGAAAAGAGATAGGGGTAGGGTTCAGTCCCCTAAAGACAGAAGTAAACATCATACTACAGCAAGAGTCTTCAGTTACTTCTGATTAGTGCAAATGCAAATCTTGGACTGAATCCCACCCTGTGTTCAGTGAGGTACACTCTTCAAGCTGGTTCAGGTCCACACCCCTCTTCTCATGTCTGTAAAAAGCAAAAAGCTCACTAATGACCTTTGTGAACCCCACCAGGGTTTTATCCAAGCCAAAGGCTATCCTTCATCCACCAACGTGGAGGTGATCAATGATGGAGCAGAGTCAGCCATGTTCAAACAGCTCTTCCAGAGGTGGACAGAAAAGAACGAAACACAAGGGCTGGGCAAGGTCTACACTACAGGCAAAATTGGTGAGCATGTTGGTCCTGGGTTTGTCTTTCCTACCTGTGCTAAGCAATAGCTGAGGGAGCATCATTCACATCAACTGTCTCCTGCCTTCAGGATCTCAAAAATCTAATGTACACTCTCCTGGTGCCTTTTATTTTCCATCTTCTTCAGTTGATGGAAAGGATTCATGAACTGAAGGACATTCAGCTCTGCTGAATTTTCTTATATAAACCAAATTGCCACTTTGAATATAAATGTTGTCAGAGAGTCACTCCTCTCTGAAGAATTGTATGCAAAATTTCCAACTTGCAAATCTCCCAAATTTCCTTTATGAAGGGCTAATGCCGAGCCTGATAAGGAGCTCTGGTTTCATTTACACTGGCATCCATCCAGTCCCCTCCTGACATCAGTGGAATGATGCTGTATTTACACAGGGTGTAAATGGTGTATTTATCACACTGCTGAAGGGAATATTACAAAGCATTAACCCCAAAGATTAAACAATTCCAAAGAGAGAGAACTTGTTGATGAATGATGGGAAGGTGACAGAGATGCTGAACATCTCCATCAATAACAGCCTGAGAGCCACAAATCTCTTTCCCTTGCAAGTTCTCTCTTTTCTCTCCATCTCTGTTTCTCTCTATGCTGTCTGTAAATACTCCCTTTCTTTGGCATGAGCAGGAGAAATGTAGGCATTTTATTTCTGAAATCAGCATTTTAAAAGGAGGGAAATATTTATAGATTTGGAGAAAAAATTAAGAAATTTCAGTCAGGAGATGAGTAATATTTTTACCAGCTAGCTGTCACTGGACCATGCTGTGTGGCCAATTCCAGCCTGTCACAGATCAACACTGAAGTGGGTTTGCTCTTGCATATTCCAAAAACTGGTTTACTGGGGGCAGGAGTGGCTTTTTGCAAACCTGGACTGGGTTTTGCTTGCTGTACAGTGGTTGTGGGTGAGGGCTGTGGGAAGGGTTTGCGTGGTGCAGTCACTGGATTCTTGTTTTTATTCTGATTTTGTCCTTGGTTTTTTCTGTTTGACACAGCCAAGGTGGAGCAGGTGAAGTTTGACACCACCCAGCTCCACGCCAGACCTGAGCTGGCGGCTGAGCAGAGGATGGTTGATGATGCCTCTGGGGAGATCGAGGTGAGACAGCTCCTTTGGCTGGCAGAGGGTGCAGTGATCAGCCTCTTTCCAAGCATTTCTTGATTTGTTCAGCTTGGAGGAGGCTGAGGATGGACCTCATGGCACTTCACAGCTTCCTCATGATTTCACAGACATCTTTTATGAAAAATCTTTTCTTTAAGATTTTTCCTCCTGAGAAGCTGAGAGGCTGCACTAACAAAATGTAAACATTGATTATCTGCTGCTGTGGAATGCAACAGGTGCATCTGTGATTGGCCCATGTTGGTTGTTTCTAATTAATGGCCAATCACAGTCAGCTGGCTCAGACAGAGAGACGAGCCACAAACCTTTGTTATCATTCTTTTCTAGTCTATTCTTAGCCAACCTTCTGATGAAATCCTTTCTTCTATTCTTTTAGTATAGTTTTAATGTAATATATATCATGAAATAATAAATCAAGCCTTCTGAAACATGGAGTCAGATCCTCATCTCTTCTCTCATCCTGAGACCCCTGTGAACACCACCACAGGCTGGCACTGATCTCTTCCCTCCAGTGGTGGGACCTGAGGGAGCACCTGAAGCTTCAGTGGTGTGGTAGCCAAAGGGTTGTGCTCTGTCCTCACCTTGACTCCACAGCTGCTCACCAAGATGTTTTTTGTTCCCTAGGTGTGGAGGATTGAGAACTTGGAAATGCAGCCAGTGAATCCCAAGATGTATGGGCAGTTCTATGGGGGTGATTGCTACCTGGTCCTGTACACCTACCTGAGGTCAGGCAGACCCCACTACATCATCTACATGTGGCAGGTAGGTCAAAGCAGAGCAGAGGGCACTGTGCTGTGCCTGCTGTACAAGCCTAAAGCTGAAGGAAGCAATTGCACACAGAAATCCCAACCCAAGCACCCAGAAGAACTCAGATACACTTTGCTCATCAATTTCAAATATCCCAAGCTGTCCTTTGTAGGTAGCATGGACACTGATCCCAAACTGGCATCAGGCTGAGCATCAGCAAAATCAGACAAAAAGAGTGGAGAATGATGGGGCTTACAGTGCTGAGGTCAATGTTTGGAGTTGGATTGTCCCTTAAAGCCTCAGTTCCTAGAGTTCTGTGGTTATATGGATATCTCTGCTTTCCTTTTTAAAGTATATCTTCATGCAGAGAGAAGCTTCAAAATGGGACTCTGAAGTCTGCAAAACCAGAATGCCAGTGAAATTTAAATATCTGGAAGTTTTAACTCTGGTCTCATGGTATTACACACTTTGGGACTGGCAGGTGTTGAATTGTGAAGAGGTTTGTAGGTTTGTACCCCTGTTCTCATCACGCTGTGTGTGTCACCCCCCTGTCCCCCAGGGCCGCCACGCCTCCGTGGATGAGATCACTGCCTGTGCCCTCAATGCCATCGAGCTGGACAGGAAATACGGGGACGAGGCCGTGCAGGTGCGGGTGACCATGGGCAAGGAGCCCAGGCACTTCCTGGCCATCTTCAAGGGCAAGCTGGTCATCTACGAGGTAACCTGCTCTCGAGTTTAGTGTTGCTGAAATGGCTCCCCAGGTATTAAAGAGTCTTTTTCCCCAGCCCTGTGACCAAAGAAGTCATCGAGATTCCTCAGCTGTGGTTTTCAAGGTTGTTTATTTTCTCTTATCTAATACATTCTTTCTCTGACCTGCTGAGGTCTGTCCAGCAGGTTGGGTTGAGGCACACTGACCACCCTTGGGGCAGTGTTAGTTTTTTATACTAAAACCTACGTGCACTTTATTTACAATAATTTTCCAATACCTATCACCTATGTTAGACAGTCTGTCTCTACTCTAAACCAATCCAAGTGTCACCATCACAGCAGAAGATGGAGGGCAAGAAGAAGGAGAAGAAGGACAGCACACGTCCAGATTCCTCCATCTTGCCTCTTGAACCCCCCTTCTAAATCCCCAAAGATCTACTTTTTCACCCTGTGACAAATTAACCATCATTCTACTCAAACCCTTGTGGCTTGTAAATCCTCACACAAAGTTGATAATTGTTTCCATGGGCTAAAATCAAAGGCACAGGTGTTTGTGACTCTGCCAAGGTCTCTGAGCCCCCTGCCAGGGTCTCGAGTCCTCCAGGGCAGTCAGAGGAATGTCCTGGGTTCCAGCAGCCTGGCTTTGGGAGGTGGGAGCACCAATAGTGGCTTGGCAGCTGCAGTGGAAATAGTCAAATCAAAATGAGCTGATACTCAAGAAAGGAGCCTGTCAGCCCTTCCCAGACTGGCAGACTGGACATTCTAGCACTCCTCAAGCAGTCTGAGCATTGTTGGAGTAAACACAGACCTGGACTGACCCAACTCAACTGAGCTCCACCCCTGAGCTTCAGCAGTGATGTATGGAGTTCATTACGACTCTGTCCCAAAATATTTTGCAGAGTTAGAATAAGGCAGTCATCCTGTGAATTATCAGTGCTGCTATCCAGAGAGGGTCATTCAGAATATCCTACAAACATGATTTGCATTGTCCTTGCCTCAATCACATCACATAACTACCAACCCACTTCACTTGCTGCCTTGGCTGCTGACATATGTGGTGGAGAAATTCCACATGTGGCTGTGGGAGAGGGGAATTGCCCTCAGCTCTGAGTGTTGGTCCCACTATATGATTTCCATGGCAGGTGTTCAGTTAAGATGAGCACCGCTGGAAATCAGGGTACAGATGCCCTGCCCAGTTTGCATGGCACATCCTCTACAGACACCAAGATCTGGTCTCATGGACCTTGAGCATCTTGATGGGAGCTGGTCAGGACTCCATAATCAGGGAGAAATGTGGGAGTTGTGCCATGTAGGTTTCGTTCTGACCTGGAATCAGAAGATACTTGTATTTCCTTACCTGCTCAGTGCAGAACCATGGTTCATTATTGTTGAATTTGTAAGCAACCCCGACAAGGGGAGGAGTGATGATCTGACTCCATGTTCTTAGAGGGCTAATTTATGATGATATTTATATTATATTATATTATATTATATTACATTACATTACATTACATTACATTATATTATATTATAGTTAGAGTATAGTATAGTATAGTATAGTACAGTATAGTATAGGATGCTATACTAAAACTATACTATAGAATAGAGAAACGATACAGACAGGAGGCTTAACAAAGAGTGAATAATAAAAACTCGTGACTCCCTCTTCCAAAGTCCCGACACAGCTGGCTGTGATTGGTTATACTTAATAACCAATAAAAACAATTCACATGAAACCAATTAAACAACCACCTTTTTGATAAGCAACCTCCAGACCACTTTCCAAAGCAGCAAAACACAGGAGAAGCAGATGAGATAATATTGTTTTGATTTTTCTCTGAGGCTTCTCAGCTTCCCAGGAGAAGAAATCCTAGTGAAGGGATTTTTTGGTAAATGTGACAGTAACACATAATTGCAAGTGGGCAGGGTTGCCCAGAGCCTTCCTCAGATCAGTCACATCCTGGATCTGTGCGTCCTCCTCACCTCTCAGTGCTACCTATTGGAATAATCCCAATATAGCTGGACAGGATGAGCCTGAGTTTGTCTGGCCCTTGGTGCTGAACCAAATAGGCGGCACTGTGGTGTTTTACCCCAGAGACACCTTTGGCTGGCTGGCTGCTGCAGCTGGGGGCTTGGGGACAAGTCCAGGCTTGCAGGAGCTCAGGTTTACCTCTGGCAGAGAAGCTTTAAGGTGGTGGGGAAGGAAAAGAGTGGGTTCTGATGGAGGGTTTGGATCCAGAGCTTTATTCTGGCCCACAGGCCTCTGAATCCAGCAACAGCTCCAACAGAACTCCTGAACCACAGCATGGTTGCTGTTCCTTTAACCTGGGGGAGACGGGGAGGGAAGGGGTAGGGTGCCACCAACCAGGTACAGGAGAGGAGTTCCTAAGGGACAAGGGACACCTGGATGGCCCAATGCCCCCTCGGGTGGAGGGCATCCTTTGAATCTGCAAATCACTCCATGCCCTTCTGGAATGCCAGGATGGACAGACAGTGCTTGGCAGGGAGCAAGGGAGGGGGAAAGAGAGGTGACTGACACACCTGGCAGGGAATTATCAGGGAGGGACCTGAGGTTCTGGGGTAAACCCTGAAATCACAACAGCTGCCCTTCCCTCTCTCCCTGCAGGGCGGCACCAGCCGGGCTCAGCAGAGCAGCCCCGAGCCGGCGATCCGCCTCTTCCAGGTGAGGGGCACGGATGAGGTGAACACCAAGGCCACAGAGGTGCCAGCCCGAGCCTCCTCCCTCAACTCCAACGATGTCTTCCTGCTGAGCACCAGCCAGGTCTGCTACCTGTGGTGTGGGAAGGTGAGTCTGCAGCAACACACAGGGAGGCAGCCAAAAGGATCTGAAAATGGTGAGGTGGGGCTTGAGTCTCCTGCCTCTGCTAGGTCATGGAGATGAATCCTAGGGCAGGTGGCCCATTAATTCAGTGGAGAAATGGCTTCAAGTTGTGCCAGGGGAGGTTAATACTACATACTAAAAAATTTTCATCACAGAAGGGGATGTCAAGCACTGGAACAGGCTGCCCAGGGCAATGGTGGAGTCAAAAGTATTCAAAAATGTGTGGATGTGGCACTTGATGACATGATTTTGTGATGGGCTGATGGTTTGACTTCATGATACTAAAGGTCTTTTTCAACCTTAATGATTCAATGATTCTGTGAGGAAACTGCACCCAGGAAAGGGCTCTGTGGAGGGTAGGCAGTAAAAGCCTTCTCTACAAATGTAACCCATGTTGGGGTTCACCTCACCTCATTGTAGGTGTTCATACAACTTTCATTCAGATCAATAAATCATCCCAGATTTTCCAGCTGTAAGAAATCAGGGTGAGAGCAAATTCCTTTATCTTGTGTCAGTTGCGTGTCAGGATGAGATGCCAGATCAAACAAAAGCAGAGAAGTTGTTGATGTCCCATCCCTGGAAGTGTTCAAAGCCATGTTGGATATGGTTTGAAGCATCCTGTTTGAGTGGAAGGTTCCTGATAATCTTTAAAGTCCCTCCTAACCCAAATCACTCTGTCATTCTGTGAGGTTTGCTCTAGGTGCCATTGGCTGCACTAAATGTCCCTTCAAGGACTAGAAATTATTGTGATCATGAGTGATCAGCTCAAGAGCACTCAAGCAGGCCTGATGCTCTCCAGAGGACCAAGCCAGCTTTTCCCCACGGATAATTTTTGCCAGTCTGCCCCTAACTGCACCTCCATCTTTTATCCTGGGCACAGGGATGCAGCGGAGATGAGCGGGAGATGGCAAAAATGGTGGCTGACATCGTTTCCAGAAGGGACAAACACACCATCCTGGAAGGACAGGAGCCTGCAGAGTTCTGGGAAGCTCTGGGAGGCAAAGCACCTTATGCCAGTGAAAAGAGGTAATTGTGACCTGCTGGTTCCTCTGGCCAGGGGACATTAGGCAAGGGGTCAAAACTTTTCAGGAATGTGAATGCTTTGTGTCCTCAGTGAAGTGAGCACAAGGCCAGAATATCACCAAGACTTCTATCAGAAACCACACCAAGGTGTTTCTTTCCTGGTTTTTGGGCCAGGGGTTCTCCTGAAGTGGGAGCTACAGGTCCAAAGCCTGCAGACAAGGGTGTGCTACATCCTCCTTTCTCCCCAGTAAAACTATCCCATATCTTGTCCTGAGGGCTGCAGGAACCACATGCTCCATTTCCAGTTCCATTAGCAGCAGCAGCCCCAGGAGAATCATGAGACTAGATCTGATCTTGGATAACATAGATTTCTCCAGCACTCTGGGTTGGTGGTGGTTTCCTCTGCAAAAAGTGATCTGGTGTGGCTTTCACCTGACACCACGCTCATTGCCACAATGAGGGAAGGGTTCTGCTTTTTCCTTTTTAGGTGGAGAAAAAAAAATTAACATTGAAAATCATTAAAATGGTCTGAGAATCTCCTGATACCTGACATTGTTGGCTTCCAGGCCTTTAGATGGGTGCTGCCATGTTCCACCTCTCCCCTCAAGGCCACAACAAGCAGCTCCAGGGCCCTGCAGTAAGCCAGGAGGGAAAGATTTCCACATTTCTTGCTTTTCCCTCCCCTGCCATGCACGGGGCAGGTTCCAGGAGCAGGTCACACACTACCAGCCTCGCCTCTTTGAGTGCTCCAACCAGACAGGTCGCTTCATCATGACGGAGGTGGTCGGGTTCTGCCAGGAGGACCTGGATGAAGATGATGTCATGCTGCTGGACACATGGGAAGAGGTCAGAAAAAGCTTCCTCCCCTTCTCCTCAGCCATGTTTTCAAGCAGGTTATGGCTTTAGTTGGTGTTTATTGTGTTGGGTCTTGGCCTGTGACTGGGTTCAGCTTCCTTGAAACGTACAAGAGGTGTCACCTTTCAGAGTTTACCCCAGAAATACTTATGCTCTATTCCAAAAAACCATTTCAGGGTTTACCCCAGAAATATTTATGCTCCATGCCTGTCTCAAAAGCAAAATCTTCCTTGTTTGGGGGTAAATTTGGGCTCAGAATCACAGGGGACTGTTGGGAAAACACATTTCCAGTCTTGTCTTTACTTCCACTGGAGGGGAGAAAAAACAGCTGTGTCTGCACAGGTTCTGATGCCTCACTGACCTTCAACTCCTCCCCTTGCAGATTTTCCTTTGGGTTGGCAAAGCCTCCAACACACAGGAGAGGAACGAGGCCATTGCCTCAGCCAAGGAGTATCTCAAGACCCATCCAGCTGGGAGGGACCTGGCAACTCCCATCATCCTGGTGAAGCAGGGCTATGAACCCCTCAACTTCACAGGGTGGTTCAACGCCTGGGACCCCTACAAATGGAGTGTGAGTTGCTGGAAAAGCCCTGAGGCTACTCAGGGGGGCCTGGAGGGTGTTGTTGTCAGTGAATATAGGGTGCATGGAGTGAAACCTCACTAGGAAATGTCCTGAGCTTCACAAAATCATGGAATGGTTTAGGTTGGAAGGAGCCTTAAAGATCATCTAGTTCCAACCCCCTGCCATGTGCAGGGTCCTTCAAAATATGAGGACATGAGTTCCTGGTGCTGTCTGAAGCAGCTTCTGCTCCTTCACCAATAAAAAAGCCCCTGTTTGGTGAAGCAGAGGCTTTTGCAAATGTGCTTAAATTCACAGTGTTCATATTTTCATAAATATTACGTTCCAAATCAAGTTTTTGATTTCAGCCAGAAAGAGGTGGGGACTGTGAGTAGTAAAAATCAAGCTCAGAGGGAAAAAAGACCCACCCACATCATAAAGGAAAAAAGAAAATAAACCAAAGCAACAGAAGTTCTTTGTTGAAAGTGCAGCCACAGAGGCAAATTTATGAGCCAGCTTTAAGGGCAAACTGTGGTGAAAAGAAATATGTGGGCAGACAGGTCTCTTGTTTAGGTTTGTGGAAAGCCCATCAGAGCTCAGGAGCTCCTGAGCAAGGTCACCCTTGGTCCCTGCACACCAGCCTTCAAAACCAGAGTTGCAAATACCAGCTCCTCCCTATGTAGAAATGGAAACCTGCTCCCAGAGATGACTAGGAAGGAAAAATTCCTTTCTCCCCTCTTTCCCCAGGACTCCACACTGCAGGAAAACTATTACAGAGATGTTTTATTTCCTGTATCTGAGTTTGCATTGTCTTTCTTCCCAATCCATGTGGTGGTGGATGCAGTCTTGACAGCTGGATCTGGAGAGATAAGACAGCAGCTCACAGTGACCCTTAAAATATGTTGATGCTTAGAACAAAGGTCAAAACTTGTGGGTTTGTTTTATTTTTTTTTCCCTGAGGAACTGCTGAAAAACAAGGATACAGCTCATAAAATATGTGCCTCTAAAAATATCCCCTGTAGGCAGCTTCAGCAACTACAGACAAGCCATCCAAACTGTTGACATCCCAGAAACATCTGGTGTGTGTTCTTTGCTCAGTTTTGGGTTTAAATCTGTTTTCTCTGCAGTCCATGTGTTTATGTTGCTTGTTCTTGTTGGGAAACTTTGTTGGATGTTTCTGTTAAGAACTGACATCTCCTGGCTGCTTAGGAAAACACAGTCATGAGCTTTGCCAATTTATCTAGCATCTTCCATTTCTTTTTTAATACAAAATTAGAGGTATCTGGTAATACATGGCACCTAATTACAAGAAGGAAGGACTTGAGGCTTTGAAAAATATGTTGTTGTAGCTAAATGAATGAGGAAAGTTGGGAAAAAGGAATACTTTCAGGCATTTCAAGATTCATCAAAAATGTAAAAGATTTAAATCCAGCAGTAAATATTATTTCTGTTCATTTGCCTTCTGCTCCGAAGTCTTTAAATTTCCCGGTTCCACCTGTTATTGTACAACTGCAAAGGCTGAAGTCCAGTTGTTTTTTTTCTTTGTTTTCAAGTGAAAGCTCAGATTTTTCTGACTGCAGGGCCTGAGGTTTGCAGGAGCTGCCACATCAGTGGCCATCACAGGGCTTTAAAATTCAGGATCTCATGACCCAGGAATGTGGGCTAAAGGCAGCCCATGGCTCTCACATCTCTCTCTTTCCCTTTAGGATGGCAAATCCTACGAGGAAATGAAGAACAGCTTGGGAGATGTGTCGGCCATATCGGAGATCAAAGTGGTGAGTTGTGTCTTGGCCATGCAAGTAGGAAGCACCTGGGTTCACACACCTCCACATCCCCCAGCCTGTTTGCACCAAGGAGGGGACACCAGGACCAGGGCAGGGATGGCAACCTCAGGCTGCCAGCATCAGAGCTGTGCTGCTCTGTGGGAGCAGAGGGAGATGTGATGAATTACCCAGAAATACACCCAGACCTTCTGGGCCTTTTCCAGTCCTGCCCAGAAGCATCTGTGAGCAGGACATTGTCCAGCTGTTCTAATGCAGAACAAATTAAGGTGTGTGCAGCTCTAAGAGGGTGTAGTTAAGTGTTTTGTGAATAGTTTACAGTGGTGGAGCCCCTGAGACCTCAAACATGAGTCCCCTGGTCAAGAAGGGCATGGTCCAGTGGGGGATCCTCCAAAGTTAATGATGTCCCAGCAGTCCCAAATGTCATTGTCACAGGGTCAGTTCTGCCCTGGCCAGGGTCAGGATGAAGTCTGGAAGGAAGTGGCAGGTTTGGGTGAGGAGAGATGGCTCATCAGGGAGGGGTGTGCAGGTAATTTAGATGTTCTAGACATGGTAGACATCTAACCTCACCTTCTGTCATCCCACATGTGCCTTCCCCTGATGTTATCTTGAGAAGAATGAGACTGCTGTAAGTATCCTCAGTTATTTGTAAGAGCTCTCACTAGTGTGTGCTTTTAGCAGTCCTAACACCAAGGTGTAGCATTTATGGAGGCACTGCACTAACACTTCACTTGGGACTTTCCCCTTGCTGCTTTGGAGCTACAGATAGCCTGTGCCAGAAATAGTCCCCCAGAACCCCAGCAGAAAGATCCTGGCATCATCCCCAACTTGCTCTGCCAGAGCATCTCGTCATGACATGTTTTCCTCCGTTTGGCAGGACCTGAACAACCTCAGCCTGAACAAGAGAACCCTCAGCACCACCAGCCTGGCTGGTTCAGCTGCAGCCAGTGCCTCCTCGGAGTACAAATCTCACTTCAGCCACAGTGACAGCAACAGCAACAGCTACAGCAACAACTACAACAGCAACGGCAACAACTACAACAGCAACAACAGCCACAGCAGCCCTGCCATGGTGCCCAACGGGGAAGGGATTTACTCCCGAGAGGTGCTGATGCACAGGACCGTGGATGAGCTTCCTGAAGGCGTGGATCCCACTAAAAAAGAGGTGACAGCATTGCTGCTTTGATCCCTTTCTAACTTAACCTGCAGCTGGCTAAGTGTGCTTTAGACCACCAAGTCCTGCTCAGACTCAAGGGGACACTGGCAGGACACACAGGTGTGACAGTGTTCACAGGGGTTCTTGGATGAGGGAGGATCTGACTCCATGTTTCAGAAGGCTTGATTTATTATTTTATGATATATATTATATTAAAACTATACTAAAGGAATAGAAGGAAAGGTTTCATCAGAAGGCCAGTTAAGAATAGCAAAGAATGATAACAAAGCTTCTGTCTCAGACAGAGTCCGAGCCAGCTGACTGTGATTGGCCATTAATTAATTACAAACAAACCAACATGGCCCAATCACAGATCCACCTGTTGCATTCCACAGCAGTAGATAATCATTGTTTACATGTTGTTCCTGAGGCCTCTAAGCTTCTCAGGAGGAAAAATCTTAAGGAAAGGATTTTTCATGAAAATATGTCTGTGACAACCAGGTGTCACCAAAAGCAGGAGCTTTGTGTGAGGAAGTTCATAGGACCATAGAATGGTTGGGTTGGAAGGGAGCTTAAAGATGGTCTAGTTCCAAGCCCCTGCTGTGCACAGGGACACCTTGTGGTGCTTTTAGCCTAGTTGAAATAATTATAGGGTTTCTATAGCAGAAAAAAATAATTTTAAGTAGTAATTTTTAAAAAATGTTTTCGTCTGGTAGAATTGTTTTGCTCTGCCACCCAACTTCTGTCCTCAGAGGGACAGGGGGACAAGGTGACACAGCTGAGAACTAAGCCAGAATTTGCATCTCTTCCTCCCAGAAGAGATGGTTTGGGTTTTTTTTAAATTGTCAGAAAACTTGCATTTCAGCAATTTTCAATTTCAGAAGAAATTACACATCCCAGATTTCCAGTCAGCCCAAGGATTTTGGCAGTGTCTGCAGCTGAATCCAAGCAAGCTGATGAGGGGGACAGAGAATTGATTCCCACTATTCCTTGTATTCCTTGTTTGACCAATGTCTTGCCCAACAGATCTGGCACAGATCAGCACCCACAGAGTCATGACCACAGCTGGGCTCTAGATGGGTTCTTCTACCCCAAATACCAGGAAAAAACAAAAACTCAACCTCCCATTCCCACAGGGCCTCTGTCAGCATCTCTGATGAGCCCTCTTTCTGCAAACCCTGTTTTTCCAGCAATGGGAGTGAACATTTCCAGTGAATATTTTAGGGGAAGGGACTGAGCAGGGGAAGATGCTTTCACTGTGAATCACTGCCCATAACTCTGGCCAGCAGAGCTTCCCTGGTGGGCCATAAATTGTCCTGGCCACGGTGTGATCAGCAGGGGCTAAATTCCAGCCAGAGCATGCTAACTCCTCAAAACTGGAACATCTCTTTGTTCTGGGGGGCTTTTATTCCCCGGTGCTTTGGGAAGTGGCATGAGGAGCAGTGGGCTGGGATGTTGCATTTCCCAGCACGAGGACAGGGAGCTGAGCAGGAGCTGTTGGTCTGGAGTCAGAGGTCAGCTCTGGCACAGTGGGGAGGGGATGCAGCCATGGGGGTGTCCCAGGCTCTGCAAAAGCCAAAGCTGACCTGTCCTTTCTCTTCTCACTGCAGTGCTATCTCTCCGATGCCGATTTCCACGATATCTTTGGGAAGTCCAAGGATGAGTTCTACCAGATGCCCAAATGGAAGCAGCAGAATGAGAAGAAGCAATTTGGACTCTTCTGAGACTGCAGGGGGCATCTGATGACTCTGGGACCAGCCCCTGCTCCCTTAGGAGCTGCAGGAAAGAAGTGCAGGCATTTCCTCAGTGATCCCAACCCAGCTCCCCAGTCCAGCTCAGTTATTCCAGCAGCCTCTGTTCAGGGGATGGCTCCTTTCTCCCTGCAGACCCAGAACCCCAGGAGGAAAAACCTTTTTCAGGAACAGCTTCTTGACAAGATTTTTGCCTCTTCCTGAAACACTTTATTTCTGATAGCCATGAAGACAAGCGTGTGCCACACAACTGCATTGTAGCCTCATCTTTCCTCTCCCTTTTGCAAATTGCCACGTGCACCAGGCCATGATCTTCCTTCATCTGTAGAAGTTTAAAGTTAGTCAAGACAAAGGCCATTTGCAGCTGCTGTGTGAATTCTGGGTGGGGAGAGGAGGGGGAAGCCCTCAGAGGATGGAGGGGGAGCCTTGAGGTCAGGAACAAGCCTGATGAGGTACTCTGTGAGTGACACCAGACAGTTCTGCCCCTTCTCACCTTGTAGAACAACTGCTCACCAAAAAACAGCAAGAATCAGTTCCAGATTAACATGCATAGCCCAGGGCAGGTAAAACACATGAGAACCTGGTTTGGGGGATAAAAGCATTTATTATGAGCATATTTATTAGCTGATGTTTCCAGAGGATGATGACACTGAAGGCTAGACACAAATATTGATTTTTGACTGCCAGACAAGACTCTATTTTTTCCTCATTCAGACAGCATCTGCAATCTCACCTGGCCTCCCTGACTGTGGCCAGGTGAATGTCAGAGTCCACCTGGCCACAGAGCAGAGGCTTGAGGAAGCCAGGAGGGGTTTGGGTGTGACCTGAGGCAGAGGGTGTCCTACTGAAGTTTTTATCAGGCTCCATCCCTGTGATGTCCATGAGAGTGCTGGCTCCACACTGTGGGATCAGTCTGACTGGGGAGGGCAGTGGGAAATGTGAGCAGTCAGTGATTACAGGACAAAACTGTAAACTAAAGGAAGAAACACCACCTTAAAAACTCAGACAGTGTGGGTTTGCAGCTTTACTCCATTTCCAACCTGATCAGTGATTCCAAATAAACATCCAGCAGCAGCCCTGTAAGTGTCTGTGATCAGCATGGCGGGGTAGGATGGCAGCAGATAAAAGCTCTGCAGGGCCACAGATCCTTCAAACACCTGGTCATCAATGGAATTTTGGATTTTTTTGAAAAGAAAAGAAAAAACTGAGGAGGTGGAGCCCCTTCTGTCCCCAAGCTCCAAGTAGCTCAGGCCATTTGTCCCCCATGCCCATGTACCCTGCTCCTGAAGCCCCCACTGGCAGTGAGCAGCAGTACCTGGCCTGAGTGCCCTGCCCTGCTGCAGGGACATGGGAAGGAGCTGGGGAGCTCCAGGCTGTGGACTGAGGGGCAAAGAGCTTTCATTCACATCCAGGACCACATCATTCTGCAGAAGTGTCACAGTCTGACTGGGCTGCAGAACTTTGTGTTTAAGAATTGGTAGTTAACTCAAATAAACCCCAACCCCATTGTTTTGTCCCCATTCCTATTCCACTTCATCCCATTTCTGCTTGAGGGTGCAGCCCAAAGCCCACTGGAATGCCTTGTGCAGAGTAAGTTAAGCATCAAGCAGAGACACAAATCAGCTGAATTACCTGTGTGATTGCTCCTGTTGTGTTCACAAGAGATGCAATCAGTGCACATTACCCACGTTTCAACCTCTGTTGGCCCTGCTGGAATCAGCAATATTTGCCTTGCCTTGCTGAGGAGTGCTGCTGCCAGCTCCCAAATGGAAGAATTGCATGTGCTCCTCAGTAAGATGCAGGAATGCCACCTACCTGTGGGCCTGACCAGCTCCACACAGTCAGATGAAGGCCAGCCAAAATACAGTGAAATTACAGAGATTAGGTGAGTTTGCTGCAATTTGCTTTAATTCCTGTGGCCACCACGCTCACCAGCATGAGTGGAGTGCTCCTGCCAGCACTCAGGAGCCAGCCTGGGATTTCACAGCCCACAGAGCCTTCTGATACCTGGGCTGATGGAAACTGCTGCTGCACTCCTCTTCTCATGGGGGAGTTGCTTTTACTCCCCACCTCTGATTGCTGAAAGAAAGATCCTCTCCCACTCCTCCCTTTGGTGCCTTTTGCTGTGATGTCAGTGGCCACGTCCTGTTTCTGCTGCTCTTCCCTCCTGTGGGGCTGCAGCACTTCCTGATCTGTTCAGAGATAAGCTCAAGTGATAACAACATGGACATGTCCCTTCCTTTGGGGAGAGAGACCTTGCAGCATTGTCATCATGCTCTGCCCACCCCATCTCCATCTCAGCTCCTTTCTCACCTGGCTCAAGCAGCTTTCCCCAGCTGTTTCTATTTGATAAAGGATGTTTTTTCATCCCATGGATCTTGCCTACCTTTAAGTGCAAAACAAGCAGAGGAAACCCCAGCCTCTCTGTGCAATGCTCCAAGCCCACCCTGACCTTGGCCACCTGGTCCCCCACTTCTCTGGTGCTGGCCACAGCAGGCAGGTGAGGGCTTTAGCTCAATAATCCAACTGAAATCTAACCCTGCCACCCAAAAACTGCAAGTGATAAATTCACAGCCAACCCAGCAGGCTGATCTGACCTCACAGAGGAACAGAATCACAGAATGGTTTGCATTGGGAGGGACCTTAAAGCTCATCCAGTTCCAACCTCCTGCCATGGACAGGGACAGACACCTTCCACTGTCCCAGGCTGCTCAGAGCCCCAAAAGTGGCCTTGAACATTCCCATCGATGGGGCATCCACAGCTTCTCTGGGAAACCTCTTCCAGTGCCTCACTGCCCTCACAGGGAAGAATTTCTTTCTAATTTGCCCTACAAGAGCTGGTGTTGGTACAAGTGAGGGGACAGGAGCATTTCTTACCACCTTCACCTCTGCTTTTCATCCCATGGCTCCCTAAAACAAAGTGCTGAGAGAGCAGGGACCAAACTCAGGCTGTCCCTGGGTGGGAGTCCAGGATGTTCCATCCCTGGCCTTCAAATGTGTCCCCAACAATGTGCCCCATCCCAGAGGTGACCTGGAGAGACTGTGTCACTGCTCTGCCTCACTGGCCACTCCTGAGCTCTTCCAGAGCTGGCTGGTGGTTAATGCAATATCAGCCCTTGAGGTGTGGGTTTAATTCACATTTAATCTGGCAATGGTTTACAACATCATACAGTATTGTAGTCAAGAGGAAAAATCAATGTGTCCAATGTTTACTGCAGCATAACAAACTCCAGGGAGGGCTAAAAGGATCCCAGCTTTGCAGAGGGCCTAAAAATCACTAAATCCAGGCTATTTTGGACTAAAAAATAAGATGACCAGAGTATGCTTAAAAGGGCATTAACATCTTTGGTATCAGCCCCTTGTCTTCACCACCAGGGATCAGAACCCCCAGGAATCCTGATAATTTAAGAAATCAAGCAGGTCTATCTCCAGATTCATGCATGTTGCATTCAAGTAGGACAAAGAGGCAAATAGTGACAAGTAACTGAACGCTTCCAGAATTCATTTTAAACTTTTAATAGTCTAATGTACTGTTAGCAACACAGCTGGCACTTCAAAATATATATTACTTTATTTCAACAATATTCCCTTAACTCTGTAGCTCTACTTGAAGACAAGTCACTCGTTGCCATAAATACTGTGTTGTTCTCAAAACATTCTTGTGCTGGGTTACCTCTACAGTGCAACTGGGACCAACATCTACTTCCTGTCTGTTAAAAAATGACATTTTTCTGTAAAAACACAAAGTTTTACTGTATTTAAAAAACAAAACAAAAAAAGCCCTGCTAGCAGTTGAGCCTGCTCCCTCTGTCTTTGGCACAAGACCTTCTCTGAGGTCCCTTTGAGTGGGTTTTACTTTGGGTCAGAGGGAAATCTGCTGTTCGGCAGCTTCTTTCTCCTTCACAGGATGAGAGCAAGGCTTTGAATGCAAAGTGTCCTGGCTGGGAGCCAGGCACACAGGCAGAGTAGTGCTCATGTATTTTTTATTACAACACAAAAGGAAACTCGGGTTACATAACACGGGGCTTTGTAGTGCAGCTTTCTTTTTTAATCTGTAACAGAAAGGAGGGGAACGGTGTCCCCATTTAGGGCTTCATATGGTGAAAGATGGGTGACACCTGCAGCTGCAAGGAGCCACCTGGCACCTGGCCACTGATTGCAGTGCTGAGGGAGCCTTTTCCTTGCACAGATGTTGGGTGCTTTGCCCAGATGCCTGACCGAGCCCAACCCAAGAGCTGTACTTCACTAAAAAAGGAGTCCCTGTCCTCTCGCTAAAAGCAACGTTAAAAAAATGGAAATAAAGTGAACTAAAACCACAGCTGGGTCGGTTGAACAGGTACAAAAGGATTAATCTCATCAGCAGCATCAGGATGTTTCCAGCAGCAGGGAGAAGGTTGATGGCTGTCTCACACCAGGGATCCTATGGAGCACCGAGTGCTGCTCCAGGGCAGGTGCTGGGGACTGACCCTGGCACTGGCAGGGCTCTCACACGCTGAATTCCTTCCAGGTCTGTAGGGAGGCTCTCTGTGGCCTGGGGGAGCCAGGCTGCTACTCACAGTCCTGGATGTTGACGAAGACAAAGAGGGTGGAGGAGGAGTAGGGGTCTCCGTTCTTGGTCAGGAGATGGATGTGGCGATAACCTGGGAGCAGAGACACAGATGGAAAATGGCCTTTAGTCCATCTGGAAAAGTGTTTGCTGATGTTTGCCAAGACCCTGCACAAACATCTCCCTGTCTCAGAGCATTTTGTCCCCATTTCCCAGAGGGTGCTGAACAGGCAGGTCCAGAGGCACAGCTCTGAGCATGGGTAACACAACGCGCCCAAGGCCTCTGGTGACAACAGGTGCCCAAAAATCCACTCTGACCCCAGCTCTGATGGATCTGGACCACTCATCCAGGACACTGGAGCTTCCCAAAGGGCTCAGTGGCTGTGAGGAGCTGGCAGCAGGGCCTTACCTTGCTTCAGACTCGTGAAGGGAAGGGTGTACTGCCCAATGAAGTCATTCTTGGTCGACATGTCAAAGTCCTCCACCACAAACCGGACCAGGGTGAGTGCAGGGATCTCTATGTCAAATGTAAACTCTTCATTCCAGTTTGGGTTAAAGCCTGGGCAACACAGACAAGGATGGAGGTCAGAGATGTCAGCAGTAATGGTGGTCTGAGGTGTTTGCACATGGATGGAGACTTTTCCTGCCTGTCAATCTAATGTGACTCAGACCACGGCTCTGAGGAGGTGCCAAGAGCCTTGTTCCCAGCTTTGATACTGTGATTTGCTGCCTGGAATTAATAAATCCTTCAGCCTGGGCTGTTCACTGCAGACCTTGGTCCTAGCAGAGTGAGAAGCAGGAGAGGTACTCAGCTCTGCTCCACAGGCTCTTGCTGGGTGCTGCATGGATGTCTTTGGTTGCCATTGGACCAGATGCAAACTCCTATAACCCTAAACTAGGGGAGGGAAGAGAGGAAAGCTGTGCTTTTGTGTTGAGACAGCCTTCTGGGGCCTTAAGCCTCTCCAACTGCTTGAGATAATCCATCTAAGCACCACTCTGTGCCCCAATTTCCCTGTCTGCAAGAAAAGTTAATGAGGAGTGTCTGATTACAAAAAGCATAATCAAGTCTGGATAAGGGTCACGTGGCCCAGAATCACAAAGCAAACAAAGCTGAGACTGACACACATGAAATGCAGAGCAAGCTCAGTGCCCTCTCTCCAGGCCATGGCAGTGCAGTGTCAATAAACCACTCCCCAGGAGCAAACAGGAGAGGAGATCCTGGTAAAAACCCTGCTGCCTGTGCAGAGCAGAGACCAAGGACAGCAAAATGTCACCTGGAGCCTGCTGGTCCTGCAGGGCTTGTGAGGCAGGGATATTTCATCTGGCCCTGAAGGTGCTGAGATGGGCCTGGGGTGCCTTTATTGTTTGATCTGCTTTCCACAGGGCAGCACTTATCATTCCAGCATCATTCCAGTATTGTTCCAGCTAGGGAAGGGCTGGCCATGGGGCTGGGAGTGTTCAGCAGCCCTGAGGAAAAGGCCTGGCAGGGCTGAAATGTTCCCTACACAACTTTCACTTGACAGGCCGTAAAAATTATTGTAGGCGACGGAAATGGCCACGAGCTTTAGGAGCCAGGCCAGATTTATTCAAACAGGAAAGAGGAAAAGGAAAACATTTTTAGCAGGCAGGAAAATATGCACCAGCTTTCCAGTGCTTGGCTCTTACTCCACACAGAAAAGCAGAGTGTGTTTGAGCAAAGGCCATGATACCAAACCCTCAGTGCACAGAGGGAAGTCACAGCCATGTCTGACTGGTAAGAAATGGTCCTCCAGCTTCTGAGATACTCAAAATTCATCTGGGAAATACCCTGAGGAGCTTGAGTAAACTTTGTGTGGCCCTACTTTAGGCAGAGGCTGGAGCAGACACCCCTGAGCTTCCTTGCATCAATCTTCTGTGAGTTTGTGACACTTTTGGGGTACACCCACAAGAAGCTTCCTCTGGGAAGATCCTGGTGAGAACCCCTGCACACCAGCTCAAACCCAACTGCAGGGAGGTAAAGAGCACTTCCAAAGCTCTAGCTGTGCAAATCTGGCAGCCAGCCCCAAACAACCCACATGGCTGATGTTGTTTTAAAGGGAATTTCTGTCTCCAAACAGAAGAACAACAACACCCCAAGTATCTGCTTAGTGTGGGCAGGATTGGGTGCCCTGGATGGGTCTGCCCACAGGACAGCAGCCTTGCCAAGGAACAGAAAAGGTTCCTGCTCATGGGAGCAGAGCTGGGAGCAAAGCCCCTCACCGTTGTTCTCGATGACTTTGGTCTGCTTCTTGTTGTTGTCTTGCTGGACCCCGTGGATCTCTATCGTCACCTTGGGATCCACAATGGAGTTCTTGCTTTTGTTCACCTTTGGCAGCTGCTGGCCAGAGATTATCTGTGGAGGAAACAGGGGAGGAGGTCAGGACATCACCAGGAGAGGGGGCTCCCTGGAGGATTCCCTCTCCTTCCCCAGGGGTGCAGGATCTGCTGTGAGAGGCTGGTGCTGCCCCTTCAGAGCTGGTTCTGTGACATCCTTCAGAGGAAGCTGTCATGAGCTAAAGCACCAAAGGAACCTTGCTCTAGCTGCCTTTGGGACAGACAACTTTTCTGAGTGTCCCCAGAGTGCTCAGCTGGTGCTTGGGAACACCAGAGGTGGCTGCATGTCTGCCTGCACAGTTCTGGAGCAACAGCAAATGTTGGCATTAACCTATTGCCCAACTGTCACAGACATCTTTTATGAAAAATCCTTTCCTTAGGATTTTTCCTCCTGAGAAGCTGAAAGGCCTCAGGAACAAAATGTAAACATTGATTATCTGCTGCTGTGGAATGCAACAGGTGCATCTGGGATTGGTCTCATGTGATTGTTTCTAATTAATGGCCAATCACAGTCAGCTGGCTCGGACTCTCTGCCCAAGCCACAAGCCTTTGTTATCATTCTTCCTTCTTATTCTCTTCTTAGCTAGCCTTCTGATGAAATCCTTTCTTCTATTCTTTTAGTATAGTTTTAATCTAATATATATCATAAAACAATAAATCAAGCCTTCTGAAACATGGAGTCAGATCCTCATCTCTTCCCTCATCCTTGGACGCCTGTGAACACTGTCACACCCAACCTTAAACATGTGAGCAGATCCCTGGAGGATCCAAGTCCATGAGAGCCCCCAGATGTGGGAAATCAGTAGTGTTAGACAACATTGAAGGCAGGACCAGAAGAAAGAGAAGGTACAACCTAAACACCTCCCAAAAAGTGGATGTTACTGAGATGTTTCCCAATTTCTATTCTTACTCTAAGCAGCAGCTTCTTCTTTGTCCCCCATGTTCCTTCTGTGATGGATTTTGGATTGAATTTGGTTTGTTCATCCCGGAGGAATTCTGGCTTTAGGACATAGCCAGAAAACCCATTGTCCTGGAAGCGGCCCTGGTACACATCCATTTCTGTGCCTGCTGTCTGGAAATTCAGGGCAACTGCAACATAAACAAATAACTTCAGTCACTCAGAGAAATCAATAGGAATCTTTTCATGCTAATTCTGTTCACATGAAACTGCACTTCATGGACATAAACATTGGCTTTTCCACACTTCAAAGAGCAGTGGTAAACTCTGACCCTCATAGCCTGCTAGCCCTGAGGATTTCTTGCATTCAGAGATGACAGAGACAGGAGGAGCCATTGCAGCCATCCTGCTCTTCCCATGATCAAAAATTGTCCTGCAAGGAATTTCTGCCACCTAGAACAACTGCATCTTTTAGATAAACCTCTTCATTTCTATGCTGAAGGAGCTCTCTCCTGCAGTGAAGCCAGCAAATCCATCTCAGATCATTTCTCTGGCTACTTAGCCTCATTATAAAATCTCCTTTCCAGCCCAGAGCTGCCTGTTTTCATTTGCCATCCTGAGGGGCATTGATGCCTCTGCTGTTTGGACTGCAGAGCTCCTCATTGTCTGAACTCCTCAGGTGGCAGCACAGAAGATGTGATTAAATCACCTCTTTACTGTCTACTGCCCAAAATAGATTAAGCCTCACTGCTGTCCTAACACCAGGCACATTCCTTGTATTTTTCCCAATTTGTCAATACCTTTTTTTAAAAGCATTGATGTAAAACCTGGAACAGCCTCACTGACACCACACAGTGCACATGGACCCAGCAGCTCCTCAGTGATCCCTTGATTTCCTCAAGGATGATTTAAAAACCTTTAGCAACACCTAAGACATCTCTTAAGACACAGAAATTTATTCTGGTTGCATGTCCTTCATACCTGATCATACTTAAAGGCTGAGGGCATTTTAAGGCCCTCCCCTATTTTTTCACCTGCAGCAAGACTTTGATAACTGCAGCACACTGGTTTTCCTGGGAGCTGAAAGTACTCAGGGCTTGTAAAAAATCTTATTTTGAGTGCCCAAATAATGGATTCAGGTCTGGCCTTCCTGTACTCCAAGGGAACTGATGGTGCCTCCCAAGGACTGTCCTGAGGCCAGATAGGGCAAAGGGTGCTACCTGTGTCCCCATGGGGCTGCAGGACCCATGGAGCTCATGCTCCCTCCTCCTTTGTTACATGGCAATAACTCTGCTGACAGTGAAACTGCAGGGATTTGCACATTAATGTGCAGAAAAGCCTCTCCTGATGGATTTGTGAGACAGAAGATGGTCCATGGGAAGTCACTGTGTCACTGTAATAATTTATGAAAAATCCCTTGGCCAGGATTTCTTCTCCTGGGAAGCTGGCAAGCTTCAGATTCTCCCTGTTTTGCTGCTTTGGAATGTGATTTGGAGAATTGTTTACCCAGCATGTGAATTGTTTCAATTTCATTACCAATCACAGACAGCTGTGTCAGACTCTCTGAGTCTGTCACGGGTTTTTATCATCATTCTTTTCTAGCCTTCTGTCTGTACCCTTTCTTTATAGTTTAGTATGGTTTTAGTATAGCATTTTCTTTTAATATAATATCATAAAATAATAAATCAGCCTTCTGAGAGTCAAAATGGAGTGAAATTCTCATCTCTCACCTCATCCTGGGGACCTCACAACACCGCATCACTGGGCATTATTTGGAAAACTGGTGTCTCCCAGTGGCTGCTGAGCCTCTGGCTGCAAAGGGCTGAGATTCTGCCTCAGCTGGAGCCCCTCCCCAGCCAGGTGACCCCCTCCAGCCCCAGAGACACCCACCAATCTGGCAGCCAACATTCCACAGGTCCACGGGGCTGTAGTTGGAAGAATCCGTCCTCCAGCCTGCGGGGTAGATACGGCTCAGGTGCCTGATGTTGTGATGGATAAAACTGGTTCCTACAGAGACAGGGAAAAAAAACCAGAATTTTTTTCCCCCATCCCTTTCAGTGGTGGGGCTACTTTTATCTCTTCTTGCTGCTGCTGTGTGTTCCCCTCTGCCTGGCAAGTCTGGCTGAATGGGAACCACCTGCAAAAATGCCCTTCTTGAGGATATTAAGTTCTTCCCACTTTTCTCAGTGACATGCTTGACCAAAGAGACCATAACCCATGTCTTTGGGCTGCCTTTTCCACCAGCAGCTGTCCCTTTCTGGGGAGCAGGGACAGAGGAGGGCAGGACACACTCACCAGACTCCTGGGCCAGTTTCAGAGCTTTGCTCTCCGAGAACGACGACATCTCGTAGAAAGCCCGAGGATGGTTGGGGTCATCAAAGCCCTCAAAGTGGACACTCTTGCAGTAGACAACTGTGTCTGACAGCTCCTTGGCCAGCTTCAAGGTGTCACTCTAAAAACAGGACAGCGAGAGGTTTGTGGGGAGGTTTTGCTGTCGTGTTTAAAAGTGGCAATTGTGTTTTCCCTATAGGACCCCTGGGACTTCTCTTTTCCATCACTTCCACCAGGAAAAGATGCAAACTCTCAGTGGCGGCTGGTGTGTCCTCTGTGTCACCCTGTGCAGGAAAGGCTGGAAAAGAATTCCCCCTTTGTTGGTGGGATACCCTTCCTTGCTGCTCCCTGCAGAATCATTTCTATTTCAGCACCCACGTCTGTCTCCAGGTGCTAAACTTTACAGCAGAGCCTTAGCAATGACTTTTCCATACTGTGCTGGTCCCAGGCATGCAAACCTGGAAATAAAGGGAATAAAAGGGTGTTTCGGCCTCCACAGAGCTTGGGCTTTTCTTCCCCTTGAATCAGGAAGTTGTCACAATGCTTTGATGACTCCAACTCCACAGCCACATTCATTGGTGCAAGTGAGAGTCCCCAGCTCCCATCAGGGGCAAGAAAAGAAAGTCAAAAGGTGTCAGAATGTCAAAATCATGTACACGTTACTGACTAGAGATCAGAGAAATAAATAAGATCTGCAAAGAGTGAGCAGCTCATCAAAGGGAAATGTAGATCAGTCCTGATACAGAGGTAATACCAAATATCTTTGCTTTCAGTGGGGCTGAATGTGTCTGTCATCTGTGAAGCCGCCCTGTAACAGATATGGTCTTCACAAGGACCTGCATGCTGGAAAAATCCATTTCCCCACATGATGGGGCAGAACACTTGTGTAAAGGTCAGCCTTTTCCTTCCAGCAATCATAATACAAATTGCTTTAGTAACTGGCCACCCCTTCCCATAGATCCTCCCTCCCTCCCTGCCTCCTCCAGGTCAGTAACAAACAGCCAGGGAGGCTGCAGGCATATCCCAAAATGTGACTGGAAAAGCCAAAGTCATGACTGTCCCATGACAAACAGATTTCTGGAAATAAGACAGAGATTGAACATGTGCCTTTCCACTGCTTCCACAGTCTGCCCTTGCTGCAAGGTCCTCCAGTCTCATTTCAGAGAAAGAAGCCAAGCTTTGTGCTTGGCTGGCTCTGCAAGATCTCTGTTTGTGCTTGGGACAGAGATCATTAAGCTGGGCAAGCACCAGGATCCTCAGCCCCAGCAATTTCAACAATTCACCCTTACATATCCCCAGCTGAGTAGCTGAAACCACACTGAGACCTGTCTTGGCTGGGAACACATGAAAAATCATATTTCAACTGCTTTTCTTTCTTTATTTTTTTAGGTGTGGTACAAAACCCATCTAAAAAGTGATTTCTCAGTGATTTCTTCTTTCACTCACCTTTCCCTTCTGCTCTACCTTGGTCTTCACAGACTCATCTTCAATTTCAGCTGCTTCATCTTCATCAGAGACATCCTCAGCCTCCAGGTTGTTGTTCCCATTGGTGGGGTCCTCCTGCCTGCTCAGCTTCTTGCCTTTCACCAGGATCTTCCCTTTCAATTGCTGCACAAGGAGAATGGGACAAAATACCTGGTGGTTAGAGAGGGTTCTGGCCCACCCTGAAAAAGCCCCTCAGTAACCAGTGCTTTGACAGTCGCATCAGTGACTGGTTATTACCCAGAGACACAGATAAAAATAATTGTTTTTACACTGGGGCCCTGCCTAGCCTCTGAGACCACAAGCCATGAGTCTGAAAACCTCAGAGAGCTCAGTGATTCCCCTCTGTTATAGACCTGACCATCTCTTCAACCAGACAATTTAAACAGTTGTGCTGTTAAAGACAATTAAAATATACTTTTTTTCCCCCCCCCAAGACTGAAATGTTGCTCAGCAAACAAGGCTGAGCCTGGAGGTCTGGGCTGCTGGAAGAAATTTGTGGCACCATTTTTGCCCCTCTGTGTGGCCTGTTATTTAATAAATTTATTAATTATCATTTATTTAATAAAATTATTAATAAATTTATTAACCACCCCTCACTCTGCAGTGTGTGGTTATAAACCTGTGCACTGGAACTCTGGAATCTGGATCTCAAACTCTGGAAACTGTTTGAGATCCAATAGGGACTGAGGCACTCCAGCCTCTGCTCCACAGACATTTTAATGTGGAGGGAGTTCCAGTGAGTTCTGGACAGGTGCTTCATGCACAGCAGACATGGAATTTTAGTACATTTGGAATTTTGCAGGTGAAGCCTTAGGGTGCTGACAGCCTCAGGAGGATTTCCCAGACCCTTTCCAAAGCTGCCTCCTCTTCAGAAACAGCTTCTCCTGCCCCTGCTCTGATGGTACAACACTGAGCACAGCCAGCAGCATGGGCCAGTGCACCACAGCTGGGTGCACAGCGAGTCCAGGGAGCTGTGCTGAATTAATTCTCTCCAGCCTCTTTCAAGGTGCACATGAAAGTCCTTGTTGGAGCCCTGGCTGCTGAGAATTTCAGATTTCTGTGCTGCCAGGCACTGACCCCCAAGAGAACACTGCACTGACCTGAGGCCGTGGAGAAGCTTCCAGAATGGAATGACAGAACTGGGATTGTGGGTGTGGAGTTTGGATAGAAGTGTGTGATATCACAGGGTGGGAAACTCAGAGTTTAAGGGTTTAGAATGTAGTAATAGATGTAAAGCAAGATGGAGGTTTGGGGTGGAGGCTGGTTCTTGTTCTTGTTCTTCTTGTTCTTGTTCTTCTTGTTCTTGTTCTTCTTCTTCTTCTTCTTCTCCTTCCTCTTCTTCTTCTTCTCCTCCGTCTTCTCCTCCTTCTCCTTCTCCTTCTTCATCTTCACCTTCTTCATCTTCTTCATCTTCTCCTTCACCTTCTTCTCCATGGGTTTGGGTGGTTTTGTGTAATTGGATAAAAAAGTCCCCATTGCAGCCATGTGTGGTTGGTTGTTGGGTTAAAAGTAAAACTAATTTAGGTGTCATTTCTTAATTGGACAGTTTATCTTTCAAAGGCCTTGTAGAGAGAGAGAGATGGGGCTCCATTTTTAGTTTGTTGGAGTGCAGTGCTGCAGAACTCAAGGGTTTGTGAGACTGTGACAGAGATAAGAACTGATAAACATCTGAGTCCCAACAAGAAATACCATCTCACACATTTAATCCTGACCTTGGCAAAAAAAGAAGCAAAGAATCCACAACCCCTGACCACTGATGTATCCTTTGCACAAGCCCTGGCTGTGGGAGGAAGGCTGGAGCCTGGGCAGGGATGACAGAGCCCAAACAAGGCAACAGCAATGTTTGGAGCAGGGAGAAGTATTGGGAAAGGTGACTGGGGGTGATCTCCAGTGTGTGGGCTATGCCTTAAAATCAAGAGCACCACCAGGCCTGGCAGCTTCCAGGAACAGATATTTGCTGCCACCTGGATGTGTTTGGTACTCCTGGCTTTGGAGGGTATGAGTTATTCCAGAAAAATGCTATCTTGGAATTAGCCAGTACAGCCCCTCATTCTGTGTAGCACGTTCCCCTTTCCTCAGCAACACCCTATATTTACCTCTTCTGCAACAGTAAAAGCAACAAAACCCCACCACATTCAAATGACAGGACTGTGAAAAACCAAGAATCTTTTATTAAAGAACACAGGGGAAATTTGAATCTTTTTCAAAGGACACAATTCCCCCTTTGCACCCTTTGTGGGTTCAGGCAAATTGCATCATGTCCTTACAGAGAGCAGCCCCACTCCTCACCACCTGGCAAAGCTGTGGGTGAAGCTGGGCTTGAGCAGAAATCCAACCCTGGCCCCTGAGGCAGCATCTGAGAGCATTTTTATTCAGCTATAAATGGGCTGTTCACGGTGGGGCACTTTCCCTGTCACTCAAAAGGAGCACTCAGAGCACAGCAATGTCCTCCTCCCCATCCCCACCCCACCCTCCCAGGCAGGGCTGTGCTCTGCTTCTCCACATCCACGGCTGGGAGATGAGCTGGCCCAGCTTCAGAGCCTGACTTCAGCCTGCTGCTCTCATGTTCCATCCTCCTGCCTCAACACCCAGCTCTTCTCTGCTCATCCACCACAAAATCCAGTTCTGGGTGAGCTTTTGGGCTCTGCTCAGCACTTGGGAGGGACAAGCCTGGAGGGATTGCACTGGGGACAGGAAGGAGTGATGCCTAAAGGTTTTAGCTTTTATAATTTTCAGATTCTGTGCTGCTTTAGTGTGTGGGTCTGAGCTTCATATCAAGGCATGGTGAGCTCTGTGCACAGAGCAGGGAGACAAAACAATTCCTGCTCCAGCTGGGCACCAAGGACAAATGATCCAAATCTCAGCCCAGGAGCACAAACACCGTGGGCTGGAGAGAGAAAAACAAGCAGGGTGGGACTGCCTGGGCTAAAGCTGGGATGGGACAATGAACTGCAAGGTGCAAATGGAGCAGAACTGATCCAAGGGAGAGAGCCCGGGAGCGCTCGTGCATTTTGGGGCCATTTTGGTTCATCTTGGGTGCAGCCCTGGCTGGGCTCTGGTGCAGCCCAAGGTGCATCCATGGAGGCCTTTAATAAATCCCTGCTTTATTCTTTAGCTCTGTCCAGCCTTTGTTCTAGGTCGGCCTGCACAAGGCATCAGGAGAGGTTGAGAGCAGCCCCTCTTGTCCCCTGCAGGCTGCAGATACCATCCTGGTATTTAGTATATTATCCATCCTGGTATTTAATGTTTTATCTGCCTCTGCTTTCCAATGTCCCACAAGAAATGTTACTGTCTCCCCAAACAGCTCAGCAGTGGAGAACTAGGGATAAGGTATCTGGGTCAGCCCTCTTGATTCTTAATTACCAGCAGGTAATTAAGCTTTTTAAATCTTGTCAAGCCCCTAAAGGGGAAAAATGATGCCTTAAGTTTTAGCTTCCATGTTTTTCAGATTCTGTACTGCTTTAGTGTGTAGTTCTGAGCTTCATATTAGGGGATGGTGGGCTCTCTGCACAGAGTAGGGAGACAAAACAATTCCTGCTCTAAGTGGGAACCAAGGACAACCAGTACAAGTTTCAGGCCCAAGAGCACAAACAACGTGAACTGAAGAGAGAAAACAAGGATAGGACTTCATGGGCTAAAGCTGGAATGGGACAATGAACTGCAAGATGCAAAGGGAGCAGAACTGATCAAAGTGAGAGACCGCGGGAGAGCTCGTGCATTTTGGGGCCATTTTGGTTCACTTTGGGCTGGGCTCTTGTGCTGCCCAGGGTGGATCCATTGAGGCCATTTAATAAATACCTAATTTACTCTTTAGCTCTGTGTAGGCTCTGTTCCAGGTCAACCTTCTCATTCAGCCTGCACACAAGTGGGAGGTGCAATTCCTGGCACAGACCAACCCTACATGGCTGAAGAACATCACGAGGGGGAAGGCACAGCAACACAGCCTCCACTGTGTCTCCTAACCACAACCCACTCCAGGGCTGCCAGCAGCAGGTCTTCAGTGCTGCTGTTTATCCTATCCAGCCTCTGGTTCCTCTGGGAAACCTTGGATATGGGGCAGATGCTCCCCATGGGCACAGGACCTGCTCCTATGCCTACAAGGGAGAGGAGGCCATGTGCCACCTAACTCAGAGGAGATCCATTTGTCAGAAGAAAGGGTGAGTCTCACACCAAAGAGAGGCATTTTCATCCCCATTTCCTGCAAAAGGTGCTATCCTGCAGTAGCATTGCAGTGAATCCCCCCTGCAGAGGAAGCAAAGTCCTCAATCTGAGAGTTTTTCTTCTTTACTGAGGTTTTAAATAAGCTGATATAGACAGTCACAAACACACAGTGCCCTTGCTCCATCTCTCCTGGTTCCCCTTCATGTGATATTAAGTATTTCTAGCCTGAGGCAGAACACACTCAGCTCATCAGTTCAGCTCTGCTGAGCAGATCCCTTGTCTTAGGAGGAAGCAATAGCTGAAATACCCAATAAACGTTCTCCAAGTGGACAATAAAGCCGTTCCAGCTGTCTGTGGGAAGCCCAAGGTGGAGTACAACCTCAGGAAGGGCTACAAGGACATTGGACTGCACTGAGAACACACAGTGGAGTGGCTGCTGGAGCAGATGCAGCTCTTGCCCTATGAACGGCATTCCTTGGTCCCCCTGAAGTGGAGCTCATCTGCTCTCCCACCTCTTCCACTGCACACTGAACAAGCTCAGCTCTGCAGGTGAAATGGTTCTGACAACACTGGGATATGGAAACCATCTTAAAGGAAACACTGACTTTACCAGAAGCAGCAGAGCTGTAATGAGCAGAGGATTTTAAAAGATCACAGGTTTATCCCACCTGAAAGCTTCCTGCCCCCAGGAGCACCCTGAGAGACACAGCAAGGTCTGAGCTCCAGTTTTCACCTCAGTGGGAATGGAGGATTTGTAAAGTGATCCATCTCAGCAAACTTTCTGCGCCTTCAACACCTCCTTTAGAGTCAACAGAGAAAACCAAACACTCCCAGGGTGTGATTCCTCCTCTGTTTGGACAAACACTGAGGAGGAAGAAGTGGACCACACCTCCAACTTTTCTGACTGTTTCTCCAAAGGAGCCCTAAGTGAAGTGCTCAGGTACACAGATACACAGGGTCAGCACTGCCTCCTGACATCCCACCCTCAGGATGAGGATGAGAGGAATCATGGATTTGTCTTTACAAACAAGCTGTGGTAGATAAAACTAGCACTAGGAGATCAAAAAAACAATGGGAAGGATTCCACTGATTGACGAATGGAAAAAGATACTTGCTTTTACAAATAAACTTTAGGTTTGCTGATAAATGAAATCAGACATTGAAAGATGAAAGAAACAATGGAGAAGAAAAATCCCTAAATTCCATAAGAATTAAAAATTAAAAGGGAGAGTTGTACATTAGAGGGGAATCTCTGGTACCAGGTGTTTTGGGCAGTCTGTACCTCTCAAGTACCTCAGCCATGGAGAAAGAGACAAGGGAAATGTAGCTGGGAAATAGGGATAAAAAGGGAGGCTGGGCCCTCCAAAAATTTGAGAGATCCCAGGGGAATGCCCCATGGCCTCTCCCTTTATTCAAATAAAGTAAAAGGAGTCCTCTGTCTCCTTTTTGGACATAAACCTCTGGTGTTTGTGGATTAATTTTCCCAACAAGGATATCCATCCCTGCAGACTTCTGGAAGCTGTGAGGAGTAACATGTTCACATTCCTGAGGAGAATCAGATGCACTAACTGGTGTCACATCTCCATCTGTGCTTGTCCTTCAGCTGCAAACTGAGGTGTTGCACCAGCAGTGAGTGGCACCAGAGGATGAAGAGAGACTCCAGGAAAAGGGGAACAAACACATTACTGAAGGAGGGTTTGCAAGATTGAAGGAAACTCAGCTCAAGAACTTATGCAGGAAGATGCACTTGCAGACAAGCTGGGCTAAGGTTGGAGAAACAGAGATGTGCAGATGGACCTGAAGCCACAGTGACACAAAATGTGTGGGTAATGCCCAAAGCCACTGTCCTCATAAACAAGGAATTCCAGGAACACAGAACTGTAGGGGTTTCAGACACCTGGACACTCTGAATAGTTCCAACACTGGGAGCAGTTTTAGTCTCATTCTAGGACTGTGACTTTGCAGCATTTCTAGCTGGGATGTAGGGACAGGGCCAAGGGACCCTGGCACACCCCTGTGAAGATCAGGGATGGGACAGAAGGGCAAGAACCCACTAGCAGCTCCTCCTTACAACCCTGGTGCTGCCTGTCTGTGGTTTTTCACATAATTCACTATTGGGACCCAAAGACAGCAGCTTGGGGGAGGTATTTAGATAATCTGTGTAGCCCAACACTGCTCCTGAATGGAGCTGAATAAATCAGATTCCTGCCCCGGGCTGTGGTGTGAATCGTTAGCACCAATCCAAACCGTGTCAATCTTCCTTTAATTACTAACCTTGCCCTGCTGACACAATCGGCAGCAATCCTTCGACTGTTTGTGTTTACAGCCTCCAGCCCTTTGCCCAGTGGCAGATCCCACCCTTTTCCTGATATAAAAAAATACCCTTGTTGTCCCTGGTTTCCCCCTGTCAACAAGGGAGGGAAAAGCCAAGAGGTTCCTGGTTTGTTTGTTTGTTTTTCCCTCATATTTCAGTCTCAATGTATTTTACACCCCCAAATAATCAGCATTTCAGCCCTTTGCACTGCCCTACTTCACACAGCATGAAAGTAGAGGAAAAGTAGCAGAAGGAAAAGGATAGGTGTTGTTGCAACGTTGGCAATTTTTCTGTGTTTAAACTAAATGGATCAATCCCTGCAATGGAGCAGATCAGCCCAAATCCATTCCCTAGGGTGGATCTGGGCACTGTGTTCAGCTGGGGCCAAGTGTCTTTTTGGCAATCACAATCAGGTTAGATGAGCACAGGCATGGAAAAAGCATCTTTGGGAAGCTGGGGTCATCCCCTTCCACTCACAAATCACACATTGCTTCGCTTGGTGTTTCTCCCTTCTCTCATCCTATCACTGCCGTCAGCTGAAGAGCCATCAGCACTTTTCCTGATCCTGACCAGGATAAATAACAAGTCAGGAGGGGACACTCAAGATGTGTTTTTCCAGCTCAGTGAGAGCCTGCAAAGATTGATCTCTGTGCTGGGAGTGTCCTCACCCTGGCAGAGTCACTTCTCCCACGGAGGCACCTTGTCTGTGCCAGAGCCAAGGTCCTGCTGAAGCAGCAGCAGTAAAAATTACAATTCATCCTAATTTATTGCCCTGGTGCTTAGGGACCAGCCCAGAGCAGCTTCCCTCTGTGCCAGGCATTGTATCAAACGAGGCATGACACTCCCAAACAAAAGGGGAAAGTCAGAAAGAGAAAGGAGATAAAGGAAGAGGGAGAAATAATATAGAAAATATTCTGGGTGGATTGTTTTCCTCTCCTTTCTCCCCTGCTGACTGCCAGCTTTATCTCACCCACAAACTCCTTCCAGCTCTGAATAGGCATGTTCATCCAAGTTTTGGGGAATGAGCAAAGAAATGCAATTTAAAGGGAACTAACCTACAGCTAACCCTACAGGAGTCTGTTTCTGCAAAGTGCTAAGGAAAACAGAAAGAGAAAGAAAGAGAAAGAAAGAGATAGAAAGGAAGGAAGAGAGAGAGAGAGAGAAAGAAAGAGAAAGAAGGAGAGGAGAGGAGAGGAGAGGAGAGGAGAGGAGAGGAAAGGAAAGGAAAGGAAAGGAAAGGAAAGGAAAGGAAAGGAAAGGAAAGGAAAGGAAAGGAAAGGAAAGGGAAAGGAAAGGAAAGGAAAGGAAAGGAAAGGAAAGGAAAGAAAAGAAAAGAAAAGAAAAGAAAAGAAAAGAAAAGAAAAGAAAAGAAAAGAAAAGAAAAGAAAAGAAAAGAAAAGAAAAGAAAAGAAAAGAAGAAACAGAAAGACAGAAAGCAAGCACAAACCACATAGGTGGAAATAGATTAATGTTTCCTTTTGGCTCCTCTTTCGGAGACATATTTTCCATATCAAGATTCCATTTCCAGTTTTTTTCTGTCAGCTAATGATTTCTAATAATTTATACTGGTGAACCACTGTTGAGTGCTGTGTATCTCTTTCCTCTTGCAAGGCCAGGGCTCAGCTCCCAGCCTGTCAGCTGCAGGGAATATTTTATTCCTGGGAATAAAAGGGAATCTCTAGGCAGCCTCCTGCTTCCCTTTTTCCTCCATGGACATCTCCATCCCCACCAACCCAGGCCATTCCCGGTGGCTCCCCCAGGACACTCTGAATGGCAGGACACTTTATTTTTAATACACTTCAGGCTCCTTGCAATGGTTTTCCCCTTGAGTTTTGAGCTCTGCACTCAGCAAGAAGAAAAACTTCCCCTCTTGCCCAACCCTCAGAAGGCAGAAAATGCTGGAGTGGCCTTGCTTACCTCTGGGGAGGGGAACTGGGATTTGTTTCCATCGACTGGGGCGACCAAGAGCATGTCCTGCAGGATGGTGGTCATGTGCTGGGCCATGACCTTCTGCTGCTCCACGCTGCAGTGGTTCTCCAGGGAGATGATGACAGGGTACGGGGAGGTCTGGAACAGCAAGAGAGCAACGCACACCATCAGTGAACCCTGTGCTTTCACCAGTCTACAGCAACAGGTATGAACCCCAGTGCTGCATGTCTGGGATGTCAACAGGAGGGTCTGATATTCTCCTAAAGCAAGGATTTGTTAAAAATGGAATTTGTTAAAGCAGTTACTCAGATCCGTGCTGATGCCTTCCAGAGATGATGGTCCAATGGAGAAGGCACCAGGATGGGTCAGGATTGCCTCTCACAGCCCCTGTGCCTCCATTCTCCACTGTGGGCCAGAGCACCTTCCTACTCACCTTCAGAGGAGGGACTGGGAAGGGGGTTTGAAATCACAGGGTTTGCTCAAACCCTTAAGTGATATCAATCTTTCATTCCTGCATAGGCCTGATCTGGTTCCCTGTGCCCCCCAGGTAATTTTGTGTGCTGAAGGCATTGTCATTATTGTCACTGTCACTCCTTTATGGCCCCAAACAAAATTTGACACCAGCTCCCCAATGCACTGAAGGAAAACAGCAGAGTCCAGTGAGTCTGGACAGACCTAAGATTTTCTGAAGCCTGCTGCCATACAAGAGTCCAGCCCTGTTCACCCATTTTAAAGCGGAATAAAAGCAGCCCTTCACATCCTAAACATGCACATGGGTGCCTCTAAACAAGAAGCAGACCCTGAGACATCAAAGCCACACAAATCATGGGCTTGCTGGCATTTCCCACCAGGTATGCTCAATTATGAACACCATTTTCATTGTAGTGAAAATGCACAGGATGGTCCAGGATGCAGCTCTGCTGGCACAGGTTCAAACTCATCCCTGGATGGTGCTCTCCCTGTCCAACAACCCCTACAGATGGATTTCTGCAGGAAGCAGAGCATGGATGCTCAGACAGAAGGAGCAGGAATTTCTCTTGTCCCCATGAGGTGAAGCTGTCATTGTTTCTGCTCTCTGCTGAGGGAGAAGAGCTCTACTGCCATTCCTGGGCTGTGCAACATGAGAAAAAGTCCCTCCTCCTTACTTGGAATGCATAGTTCTTGATGGCCTTAATGACATCACTGAAGAGGATCTTAGAGGTGAGGGTGTAGCCGTGATAAATGACGGGCTCCGAGTTGGGGCCGTCCCAGCAATCCAGCTCCACACAGCGACAGCCTTTGGTCAGGGCTCTGGAAACAAAGAAGGGACTGGTTGGGTTCCACACCTTCTGCTCCATCTCCAGGTGAGGCTACATCAGGCACAGACACTGCCTGGGAAGAGTGGAGGGAAGTTCAGGAGCAAGGGAGAAGAAAGGAGCTTGGAAAAGCAGGAAAGAGATAAAGGATGGGATCAGCTGGAATCAATGTCAGCAAGGAGAGCTCAAGGCTGAGCAAGGAAAGCACAGAAGGATCTGAGAAATAAGGTAGTGAAAGTCCAAGGTAGACTTATCCAAAGATTAAGACAGAGTGAGTGTCAGATGAGAAAGGACACTGATGACTGTGCCCCAAGCCTTTCCCCAAAGATGGTGAAGAGAAGAGAAAATCAAGAGAGGCTGCACTGGAAGAATGACAGTCAGCCTGAGAAGCCAGGTCACAAAGTTTAGGTGATGTGATTTCTTCATCTAGATCTGATATGACATGAGGGATGAATCCTCAAAGCTGGGAGAAAGGCAGGGAGCTATGGGAACTCCACCACAGCTGAGGAGACTGCTGAGGGCCAGTTTCCTAAACCAAGTCTACAGACTGAATTTCCATGTGGAATTCCTACCTCTACATATCCCTGCTTCCATTTCAACTTATTTTCAAATGTAGATTCCCTTCCAACTGTCTAAGAGGTGATTTCGTCTCTTTTACGGTAATTCCCTAAACATTTCAGATTACACAATTCCTCTAGCTCATTGCAATAGAATCACAGAATGGTTTGGGTTGGAAGGGACCTTAAAGATCATCCAGTTCCAACCCCTGCCATGGGAAGGGACAGAGCCCTGTCCAACCTGGCCTTGAACACTTCCAGGGATGGAGCATCCACAGCATCTCTGGGAAACCTGTTCCAGAATAATGGGATTATTTTTTTTTGTACAACCCAAACACACATTTATAATTTTAAGACTGTGTAAGATGAATTCAAAGAGCTACTGAGAAGTAACCCATGCCAGATTTCACTCTCAACACTTTTGACCTTGTGACTCCAGTCAGCTGTTGCTCCTGAGAATGAGATAAGTCATAACCAAAGGCAGAACTGCAGCCATTGACTGGCTCATGAGGAAACACTGTCCCACCTGATAAAAACAAGAGTAATGTATTGTGGGTGTGCAAATTACTAAAGGTCACTGCACCCATCTGGCCATGAGACATCAGATGCTGTTAAAGGCAGACACAGGCAACACCTAAAGCTCTAAAGAACACCTAAAGTGCAAGGGCGCTGCGGGAATATCTGAGATGATAAAAAGGCACCAGGTGTAAGTTCTGCTTACTCACCTTGCTCACTTCCCACCTCTTTTTTTTTTTTTTTTGATTGCTCCAATTGCTCCAATGAGGATTCTCCAAAATAAACCCCAGCATGGTTGTGGGGACAGTCCCTGCCATGGGCCTCTCCCAAAAGGCAGCACAGAGCACAAGCACCATGGCACTATGCATCATTTTGGCTTCTCCCAGACCTGGAGCTCTATCCCAGGAGGAACCTTTCCATCTTGTAAGCTCCTTGCACTCTCTTGTGCCATATTTTGGGGAATGCAACACCCCCTCTGCATCATGCTTAGAGAACACCAGGCCAGAGGGCTGTAATTCAGCCTCCAGTGACTGCAGATATTTTATTCTGCTTCCAAATGTAGTAATTATACATCTACACTCAGGTGGACACCAGATGAGACTCGGGTCACAGAGCTGTGACAAAGGAGCTGGTTTGGAAACAGCTCACCCTGGAAACATGGCCCAGCCCATATTACCTGGTCTGGTGCGAGATTGCTTCTTGATCCTTGCACCCATCAGCACAGACACTCATGTCTTCTGAAAGAAAGAGGTTAACCTCTCAAAAACACACAAACACCCACTCTCTTTACCTGATATAGGCCTCAGTGCTGCTTGGCCCTGTGATCTGGTCTTCCATGAGATAGGTGTTGTGTGAGGATGACACCAGGTAGTGGCTGAGAGGTTGGGTCATGTCCTGGTAAACTTTCCTGTGGGAGGGGTTGAAGATGTTCCCCTCATCTGACAGCAGGTACATCAGGAAGCCATCCTTGGTCATGGCATTGCCCCTCTTGGCTGTCAGACAAACAGACAGAACACCCCACAGTGAAAATGAGATGCCACCAGGCCGTGCTGCCACCTTCACCATGGTGCCCTCCAGGAGATCCCAGAGGCAAAATGTGATCCCCAGGAATTCAGTAAAGGCAAAGACCTCAATGTTCTCCAGACAAGGATGACACCTTCAGCTGCCTGAAAATGCTTTTAAAGCCCTTCCCAAGCACAGATTTTTATGACACTTACGTGGCTTTTTATTACACTTTCCTTGTCCTTGATAACATCTTAGAAGTGTCAAAGGCAGACCTTACCTCATCTCTCTCCAGAGATTTACAGCATGAAAATCTCTGCTTGAGCATTTCAAGGTTTCTTTGCACCAACCCAGAGAAGCTGTCAGATGTCTAAACACAGCCAGATAAATCCTGTCTAGATTATCCAACTAAATACTTGATTTGCAAAGAGGAATTACAAAATTACTCCCCATTTTGAGGGACTGAACTAGATCTCAGCCTAATCCTAAAGCCTGACAGTTGCAAAGCCTTGTCCCCCTCCTGAAGGAATAGCAGGATAGTGGAAAACCAGCCCAAGATTCTGAGCTGGCTCTTGGAACCCATCCTCCAAGGTGCTCCAGACTGATGATTCACCCACAATCTGAGCAGACAGACAGCTCAGTGTCTGCCTCCTGAACAGCTGTCACCTCCTTGGCCTCTGCTCAGAGATCCCATCTGCAGATGGCTTCACAGGTGCCCACCATCAAGGACATCTGCCTCCACCCCAGCTCCTGGAGAACACAAATATTGCTCCATTCTCAGCCTTGGAGAGCCACAGGAGGTCTGGGCACCTGAATAACCCATCTGAGTCTTTCCCTCAGGGTTTTCATCATCCTCTAGTCAAACCTGTGCCGAACCCTCTCCTGCTGTTCAGTGCACCCCAAGTAAAATTGAAGAGAGAGATTTCCCAGCCTCTCCTCTGCCCTCCCCTCCTAGAGATGCTAGGAGAGGAGAGCAGAGGAGAAGCTGGGAAATCTCTCTCTTCAATTTTATTTTAATAAATAAATATGTTAATGCTCCCCTAGGAGAGTGGTTTTTCAGAAGCAGCTGTGGGGAGAAAATAATGCACACGACTGAAGAAAAAAAAGCAACAGCAATGCAATTCACAGTTCATCAAAAAAACAAGATTTTGAAGCAAACCAGCCAGGGTTTTCAACTTACCTCTTTCGTTGGGCTCATATCTCTGAATTAAGGCAGGGGCAGCAACAACAGCATCTTCTTCCTGCTGCACCTCATAGAGAAACCTCACCAGGTTCTGGCAGGACATGAACCCCTCTGGGTCCGAGTACATTTGGAAGATGCTGTCTATTTCCTTCCTCTCTGTCAGTATCTTGTAAAATTCCTCTATCTCATCATCCTCCAGAGCCTCTGTTTTGGACTTGTCACAGTGCTGTAAACGTAGAGGGGAGAAGGAGTGAAAACCTTCTTTCCTTCTGGCATAGGCCAGCCGTAATCTGCACCAGGGCTACACAACGCAGAACACAAAATAATTGCAGAGAGTTACTGGCCAGCACGTGGTCAATGACAATGGTTCTCATTGACAAGGCCAATGGTCATAAAAAATACAGTTATTGGTATTTATACATTGGCAATGTGCTCAAAAGAACCAGCCTCGAGTTCCATCATTTGGTGTGCTTCAGTCAGGATAGCTCAAAATAATCCAAGCACAAATCAAGAGTCAAAAGAATCTTAATCTCAGGGGAACAAAGGGAAACAATTAATTCCATTCAATAATGACAGACAGTATAGGCAAAAATCCAGGAATTTAAGTGAAAAGAACTTTTCCTTTGACCTTAGTGGCTCAGAGCTCAAGAAGCTGTCGAGACTCACAGTAGGGTTGTTTGCAAAGATGGCATCAAAAACAATTTAAAACCCCCACAACTGCTAAACATGTGCATGTTTAGGTAGGAAAAAATCCAGTTACTGGCCAGCCAGAGAGGAGCACGTGGTCAATGACAATGGTTCTCATTGACAAGGCCAATAGTCACAAAAATTACAGTTATTGGTATTTATACATTGTCAGTGAGTTCAAAAGCACCAGCCTCGAGTTCCATCATTTGGTGTGCTTCAGTCAGGACAGCTCAAAATAATCCAAGCACAAATCAAGAGTCAAAAGAATCTTAATCTCAGGGGGAACAAAGGGAAACAATTAATTCTATTCAATAATGATAGAGAGTATAGCCAAAAATGCAGGAAGTTAAGTGAAAAGAACCGTTCATTTGACCTTAGTGGCTCAGACCTCAAGAGGCTGTCAAGACTCACAGTAGGGCTGTTTGCAAAGATGGCATCAAAAAGAACTAAAACCCCCCACAATTGATAAACATATGCATGTTTAGGTATGAAAAAATCCAGTTACTGGCCAGCCAGTGAGGGGTACATGGTCAATGACAATGGTTCTCATTGGCAAGGCCAATAGTCATAAAAATCACAGTTATTTATACATTGGCAATGTGCTCAAAAGAACCAGCCTCAAGTTCCATCATTTGGTGTGCTTCAGTCAGAACAGCTCAAAATAATCCAAGCACAAATCAAGGGTCAAAAGAATCTTAATCTCAGGGGGAACAAAGGTAAACAATTAACTCTATTCAATAATGACAGACAGTATAGGCAAAAATCCAGGAATTTAAGTGAAAAGAACCCTTCCTTTGACCTTAGTGGCTCAGGCCTCAAGATGCTGTCAAGACTCACAGTAGGGTTGTTTGCAAAGATGGCATCAAAAACAAACTTAAAACCCCCACATGTACATGTTTAGGTATGAAAAAATCCACCTCTCCATGGAAATTTTCCATTCTCACCCAAAAGCTGCCAGGTAACAAAATCCCCACAGATTTCAAATCAGATATAATCTTCTCACAAGGAACTGTAATTCAGGTTCTCCACCTTCCTCTGGGGTTTGAACTTTTCCAGGAGATACCATCTGTGACAAAGCACCAGAGCCAAGGACTTGATTGACCATGAAAGATGGGGAGCTTGAGATAGACATGTTAATGTCTCCATCAAGGACACAGCTTTTCCAATAACAAGTTGTTCTAGTTTATTTTAAATACTCCCAGGTTCAATTTTTCATCAGAAACAGCTTTTTTTTTTTTTCCTGTGGCAAATCCCGATATTAATTTTGTTGTTTGTTCCTAGCAGAATTCTTCAGCTTGTCAAACCAGAGGAATTTAATTGCTTTCCATCTTTGATCCCCTGTGACAGAGCTATTTTCCTGGCTTTTATGAAGAAAATGCCTGTCTCAGTTTAACCAGTAATCACACTAATCTCAGCCTAGCCCTGCCAGTGATCTCAGCAATGGCCACAGTGGCTTTGGCAGTGTCCCAATATGATATGGAGGGACTTTCATCCCCTGAAAATCTTTCACTATCTGTTTAAGGAGCACACATAAAGCCAAAGAACATTATCATGATGCCCAGCATTTCACAAATTGAAGTGACAGGAAAACAGAGTTCAACTTGTCCTGACTTCAGAACCTGCTGGGCAGAAGCTACAGGCTCATCTCAGGGATGGGACAACCTGTGACATGCTCAGTCCTACAAACACCTCCAAAACAGGTTTGAGAGCTCAAGAACTGCCTGTTCCTCACTGCCTCCCATGTCTGTGATCCTGCTCTGTGGCTCTGGCAGATCCCTCAAGCTGAGCTGAGCATGATGCTTAGCAACTGCAAAAGGAATATAAAGAGGGAAAGCAGCTGGTGGAGACAGCAGGGATGTTGTGAATTACAAATGTTCTTTTCTTTAAGACATGACAGGGAAAATGACAAGATATTCCTCCTAGAAAACTGGCATTTTAAGTGGTGAGCCTGGGGAAGTTTATTCATTAGTTGCCATTAAAGGCTGTGATGAAAACAGAGCAACGGCACCAGAGTCAAACTCCAGGACAGATCAGATGCTCAGTATAAAAGTGGGTTCCTTCTGCTTTGGCTACAAGAGGTCCAAATTAGAGAATCTCAACCCAAAATACTGTGGTTTACCTCCCATGTATGCATCACAGGCCATGAGCCCTGCATGACCCTTGGCCTGGCAGCAAAAACACCTTTCTGATGCATCAGAATGAATATTCAGGTTAAAATGAAGTGAGCAATGGCAGCAGCTTTGCATCATTTCTGGTTGCATTGCAATATGTTTTACTCCAGTGTCCCAAACCTGGATGTGGACACAGAGTCACGAGAGGAAAGGCAAAAATAATGTGAGAACATGCCCTGCAGCCCCGACTTGAGCCCCTGCTCACCCTTCCTTCCTGTGACTAAATGAAGAAAAACTCTGTGAGACAGAAAAGATCACCCTTTAATGGGCTGTAATGCCCTGGTCCATCCAGGCTGAGGCAGGATGCAAACTGAAAATGTAATTGCTTTAAGAGCAGGACAGACCCTTCCTGGAGGCAAATCAGCCCTCAGGAGATCAGAATTAACCTCCAAAGTGCCTCTCTTTCCAGGGGCTATACAGGAAACTTTAAATTACTTGCTTAATGATGGCACTTCAACTAACTCCCTGCATTTCCACGGGCTGAATCAAGGTTTAGCAATTACTTGGAGTCTTTAAGCAAAAAGGATTAATTTCATCAAGTTTCCTCTCCTGGAGCTCCCTTCTAACTGTTGGGACAGCAGAAGAGGTTCATTGAATAAGAGGAAACTGTGCCTCTAAAATAAAAAAAAAAAGGAAAATTAAAAAAAAAAAAAAAGGGTGATTTTTGCTTTTTTTCAGGTTGTTGATGTGTGAAGATGTGGGAATTTTTCATCTCCTATATGTGAGATGTCTCCTTTGGGGTGAGGAGATTCAGACCCTGCTCCCCACTGGCTTCACCTGCACAGAGGGCAAAGGAAGTGTTGGCAACTCCTTCCAGTGGAGACATGCAGCTCAACCAGGGGATTCCCAGCCTTATTTCCACTCTTCCAGGACCTTCCTGGGAATGGGAATGGGATCCACCAGCCAGAGCAGGCAGTACAACTGGAATATTTTGTGAGCTGAAATTCTTTAAGATGTGCTGATGACCTTCCCCCTGATTCCTGAAGAGCAGAGAGATGTCTAAAAAGCAAAGACAAGGAAATTTGGACCTCCTTTGGGGAAGGCTGCCTGCCCACATGGAGGAGCAGGAGAACTGCCTGGTGCCCAAAACCACCCACGTGTTTACCACTGATCAGAAAAAAACATTTCTGGAACTGCACACACATTAATTCAAATCCTGCTTCAGACAGGATGGAAGTTTGGAAATTATCCAGATGTTTTATCTCACCTCAGCAGGATGGATTCTCTAGAGAGAAACCCAAAGCTTAACAACTGAGAAATTTTCATCCCTTTCTTATCTTCTGATAGGCTCAGCCAGCAAGCTGAATCTTGAGAATTTAGAAGTGTACATCCCTGACCAGATTAAATGTGCCTTGGGAGTATTAAATCAATCAGACTAGTCCAGGCTTGGGTGCAATGTTGTGTATCTATCATGAATCTGGAAAGTTTTTTTTCCTAATTTGTACTGTATTTTTTGTTTGTTTGTTTATACCTGATATTTTGCAACCCTCTCCTCTGAGAAGGTGAGGATCTGGGTTCACAATTGTAACCAAACAAAATTCAGCCAGACTTAAGCACTGACATGCAGCTGTGGCACACAAAACTCCTGAAACCCCTGGGACTTCAACTTTGTTTCCCTTTTTCTTGCACTATTCATGTTTGCATCTCATTTTCTGCTTTGTGGCAAAATTAGGCATTGGTTATGAAGAAATATCTTAACACACCTTCATCAAAAGCATTGTGCTGGCCTAACTCAGTGGGAATCAATTATTCTGGGCAATAAATTACTGAGCACCAAAACCTGAGAGCCCTTCCTTGGTACAAGGAAAGAAACCAGGAGTTCACTTTAGGTGAGGTCTCCAAGCCAAGCTGAAAGCTGTGGGACACCCTGACCTCACCAATGAGCAAACCCTTTTTCTGCTTGCTCCCATTACCTGGAAAATCTTCTTGGCATGGTAGTCATCCACTTCAATGTTCACTTCTTTCAGGAAGTCCTTGAGCTCCTTCAGGCTCATCTTGTTGTCTTTGTTTTTGTCAGCTTTGCGCAGGCAGGTGTGAATCCAGCTGCATGGGGATGTAAGGAAACCTGTCCAGGTCTGAACACCCAAACACCTTCTGCTGCACATGGCAGGGGGAAATCCTCTCCTACAGGCTCTGAGCCACCTCTCCAGCTGCTGTAAATCACCCTGAGCAGCTGCCACCACCTCACCTCCTGCTCCCACAGAGCACAATGGAGCCTTGGCAGGAGGAAAACGTGCTGGGATACAACTGATGGTGACCTGGAGAAGCTTTTCACCATCTGGCCAAGGCTGGAGCAGCTCTCTTTACCCTGTAGGAGTTCCTGGCCACAGCCAGAAACAGTTTGATTTCTCTTTTGTGACAGAAAGTACATTCTGCTCCAGACGGTTAAAAGGGGATAAAGGAAAGAATGAAAAGAGCTCCCAAGAGAAACTTGGTAAACTCATTGTCAAGGATTTGCTAAATTTTCAGTGTGTCATGGTGAGCAGTGAACTCCAAAAGAATGATCAATAATAATTTTTGAACTCACCTTCAGCATATTTTTAGAGATTTCTGCCTATATCTCCTAAGAATTTGTTGTGAGTGGAATCCAACCAAAGTTTGTGGGTCTTTCCTTCTTCCCCTGATGAAATGCACAGGGTCTGTTACTGTGCTGTACTGAGGTAATATTTCGTAAGACCTTGGGTTTTAATCACTTTAGTGTATCTGGATCAGGAGTAACTGCTATAAGAATGATCTTAATGTGATGTCAGATATTTTGAACCGAGACTTCCATTTTCTTTCAGTCTCTAAAATCATGTTAGACAGTTGAGACACACTGCAGTTTTAAACACCAAAAAAACCTCCTGCTTTTTGCATCATGGAACTGTCTGTCTAATTTGTTTTACTGTCAAATAAGAAAGGTCATCCAGAAAAATATCTACTTTTCAACAGGAAAAATAATGATCAAAGTAAGAATATGATCTCCAATAATAACCTTCCATGTCTCACATAGGAAACAATGCTTCCAAATTCCAGAAAAACTTCCAAAAAAATGCCCAATCTGAATGCTAATCAGAGTAAAGCTCAGGATCAGCAAAACCAGCTGAGGCATATAGTGCTGTAACATTTAAACTGGGCCTTTCAAAATGACCCCAGAAAAGGGCATAAGCAGCCTTAGGGGCTGTAAACATAACCCTGAAACAGTGTTTGCCAGAGCTACCCTGCACTGAAGTATTTCCCAGTGATGGAGATATCTGTAAACTGTTAGTGAGCATTGTTTGTCTCATGGAAAGTTGAACTTTCTGACTTAAAAAATCTTGGCAGGTGCTAAGCAATGACCTCACCCCACATCCGTCTCAGCCTGGTAATATTAATATTCCTCTTCTTTAGACATGGAAACCAAAATAAAGAGAGGCAGCATTTCCCAAGGACACTCCAGAGCCCTGAACCAGGGTCTGATTCTTCCCAGAAAACCCAGTTTGAGTCATGAAGCTGCCATGAGCAGAGGATGCTGTGCTGGGAGCACCCCACACCCACCCCGGGGTGCAGAACAACCCCTTGTTGAAGATTGCAATGCAAGATGTTTTCCATTACCATCTGTATGGCAGATTACCTTTGTCAAGTGGGCAGTTTGCTTTATCTCTCTCTTTGAGTGACCACAATCACTCCTCCCTCGGGAGGGGACATCTGCTGATAACAGCTACTGAATGTCACTGCATGGCTGATAAGAACTACAGCATCCCATTGGGAGATGTGAGCCCAGAGGGAGGAGCCAAGCATTCCTACCCAGATATAATCCAGAGGTTTTGAGACACCAGCACGGCTTCTCCACTGGATTCCCCAGAGGAACAGCAGCTGCCTCTCCTTCCACTGGATCTTCAGAGGAAGAATACATCCTTCTCTACAGGATCCCTGCTCCAACAGAACCACCCCTGACACTGCAGGAGGGCTGCAGCCACAATTCCAATGGGACTGCTGCCAACACCCTGACCCACAGGGTGTCAGGTTGGGTTCTGACTCTGGCAGTGTTGTTCTAGTGTACTGCATTGCTTATTTTATCCTTTATTTTTTTTCTTTTCCCTATTAAAGAACTGTTATTTCCTGCTCCCATATTTTGGCCTGAGAGCCGCTTAATTTAAAATTTATAGCAATTTGGAAGGGTGGGGAGGGTTTACATTCTCCATTTCAGGGGAGGCTCCTGCCTTCCTTAGCAGACTCCTGTCTTTCCAAACCAAGACACCCTTCCACCAGCTCTGCTCCAGACAGGGTCTGTCAGACTATCAGATTGTCACCAGACTGTCAGAATGTCACCCTCGTGCCACCCACTCACACCTGACCCTGCACCTCAGGTCCCCTTCCCAGCCTTCCATAAAAACAACAAGCAGGAGGAAAACCCATCTCTGGTGAGCAAGAGGAAATCCAGCCTGCCACAGCCAGAGGTGAGCAGGAGGGGTGGATAGAAACTACTTTTTTGTGCATAGAAACTACTGGTTTTGTGATGACCACTGCAAAAAAACCCACATTTTTTTAAGAGTCTGCATCATTTCCTCTGATAATGGGCACGCAGAGGTCATGCATGTACTCAAAGTCCTCTCTGGTAGGCAAAATGTGGGCAGTAAATGCATCTGCAAGAGAGTATGCCCAGGTCCTACCTGTTAATGGAGGATGTTTTTCTCTTAGATCCTTCCCAGGAGGCTGAGAATGCAGGAGGGAAATCAGAGAGCCCAGGAAAAGCCCAGGCACACACAGTGGGTCCTCTTGCTGCAAGGGCAAGCAGCAAAGAGAGGAAAAGGAGAGTGCAGACAACTGAGATCTCAGTAAATAGGAGCATTCTGGCCCCAAAACACCCAAACTCCCCATCCATCTGCATCCCCTCAGCTTTGGGAGAGCTTGGAGGAGCTGGATGAACAAAACACTCCAACTGGAAGTCCTCTCTTCTGGTACAAACACCATTTTCCAGCCCTGGCTGTGGGCATTCCTTTCACCTTGTGACCCTCTGTGGGGCTGAGTGCACTGGGCAGCAGCTGCTCCCATTTCTCTGGGAAAGCTTCTCCCATTTCTGTGCATCCAGGGAGAGCCTCTGGCTTTTAAAGGCTGTGCCAGCTCCAGGGCTACCAGCTTTCTCTCAGTTTCAGTCATCCCTCTCTGGTTTCTATCTGGCAGATATCCCATGAGTGTGCTCAGAACAGAAATGCTGCAGAACTCCTGGTAATTGCTTTCAAACCAGAAGAAAAGCTCACACATAAACCCCAGAACTGAAGCAGACAGTGCCACCCTGCTCAAATGAAAAGTCCTCTGTGTTTTCTGGTCTGAAGCCTTCCCTGCACACATACCTGCAATATTTGCTAAACTACCCATGCCAGCCTTCTGCAAGGTTGAATCTGAGGCTTATTAGAACAGAGCTCTCTGTATAAGAACATCAGACATGCTCATCAAGCATGTGGGAGTTTTATCTGTGTAGGAATATAGGACTGGAAAAATACATAAGACACTGATTCCAGTCCCTTCCTAGCACAGGCAACTCCACTGAATTCCAAACTGAACGAGCCCCATCTGAAACTAGCAGAGTTTTTTGCTTTCAATCCTTCTTTTCAAAAACTTGCACATTCCTTACTTGTTTTGCAAGGGTTTGGGAGGCTGAAAAAGATACCCTGCAAGGCAACTCTCCAGTCATGGGGGACAGGCAGAGGACACAACACTTCTCATGCCCTGACTCTTCCCCCTCTGTGCTCACAGATGCTGAGAACACTCCTGAGGTTTAAGGAAGATCTGAGCAAGCCCACGCTGCCAAGCAAACCCAGTGAAGGCAGACTAAATTTAAAATCCCAGGCTTTAATTAAACATCATCAAATTTCAAATGAGAAATCATGCTGTTCTGTAATTCCAGGTTACGTTAAATGGCCTGAGACAAGCCCAGATTGGAAGCCAGCACTGCACAGTAATTACTCTTCCAGAAATATGGTTTGCCTACCCACCCTATTTAGCTTCAATTCTGCTTTCCAAAGACAGAAAGGCACTTTTCCATGCTGGAAATTTACAGCTTTCTTCCTTTGCAAATGTCATTGTTATTTTTCCCCCCTTAAAAAATCTTGTCTCTTCTTACAGGCAAGTTTTTCAGCAATATATTTAACTTGATATGCTCCTGGGACAACTTTCTGTAGCCCAGATTTTCCCCTGCACACTGTGGGGTGGCTGAGGAGTGATCTTACAGCCCAGAGCTTGAAAAACCACCCAAAAAACCACACTCCTAATGCAGGAGATAAACAGGACATCCCCAGCACAACAGAACTAATGGAGTCTGATTCCTTTAAGGGAACAGCACTATGGCTGTGAAAATGCTTCTCAAGCTTCAAAGAATCCACAGAGGAGTAAAGCCTGATGAAAGTTCAGCATTTATGCACCATCTCCTTCTCCATCAGTGCATTATTACCCAGCAGAGAACCCACATGGAGTGAAGACTTAACTGAGGGCAGCATTCCTGGTGCCTTCTCAGAGCTCCAGCTCTGTGAGCTCCAGCTTTGTGATATTCCCAGCTGAGGATTTTGCATCTCCCCTCCTCTCTGATGTTTGGTGTCCAACAAGCCATGAAGCCCAAGCAGCTTTCTCTCCCCAAGAGTGGTGTCTGTTTTCCTCTCTGATAGCTGAATATCTACCTTTGGGAAGCTTAAAGGAACCTAATATTTTACTATTACTGTGGCTCTATCAAATCAGGGTGAAATCAGCCAACAGCTTCAGATGTCATGGTCAGAGTCTCCACACGGACTGAAGAAAATCCACCCAAAAACTCCACCCACAGATATCCTCTCTTTATACATGAGACCCCTGCTTGCAAAGCAACTTATTGAGTGAAATGCAGCCTCAGGGAGAATTCCCTGTGAATTCAGCAGAGCCAGGATTTCACCCAATAACCACCCTCTCTCCATTTCATAATGAATTCACTCTCCTTTCCTGCTCTGTGCCTTTTCCCTTCTGCTCTCTGCATTGTCACTAGAGCAACTGCAGATTTTTTCAGGGCAAAACTTCCTCCCATGCTGAGGCTAATAAGGAGAAATTTCACTCAAGTCAGTGGAGCTACCCTGGAGTAAATTTGGCAGTGAGAAGAGGAGAATCAGTTCCCTCTCCTTGTATTACTGAGAAACACGGTAAACAGTGAGGGCTTTTCATGCCTTGCCAAGAAGTGCCTGTCCTGCAGTTTACTGCATTGCAAATGAAACAGACCCCTGAAGAACACAAAAAAATAATGATTGTTTTATCTGGAGCTCCATGAAAGAGGGAATTCTTCGCTTAAGGAGCCACATTAAGCCTGACTCCACTCTTGCTGGTATCATTGTAAAACAGGGGGGAAAAGCACTGGAAACCAGGGAGCTTGCCTGGGTGCAAAATCAATGCAAGAGAAAACCCAGAATAGGGAAAAAAGGAGGTTAGTCTACTATCCCCACCCACATGGAAAGACAAGTGCATCTTTGTCCGTGATTAATCACTTTATAAGGCAAAGGATACTGTTGGAGTTTCTGTTTCTGGTTCATGGAGTTGCTGTGGGCTATGATTTTCCCAAGGCCAGCAATCCAGTGGTTGGCATCATCCTCTGAGCTCGCAATGAGGTCCAGGTTTTTCCTCTGGTCTTTGAAGATGATGGAAAAGCAGCGATACTCTGGGACATCCTTGGCGTATTTTTCCATCCCTTCTGTTTTATGGCCTGACCTCACATCCCGGATATCTTCAATGGAGACTGTGGAAAGAAAGCAGAGCCTGCTGTCAGCAGGGGTTCACTCAGCCTTATCTCTCCTTGGTGAGGGACATTAAAAAATGACTCTTTCTCCTTTTCCTGAAGCCTCTGGAGGTTCCCTTCCTCTCCCTCTCTTCCCCAGGCTTTGGCACTAAAGAAAACTCAACTCAAAAGGGCTAGAAAGAGCAAGAAATATTAAAAAGAAAACCTATTTCTTCATGTTCTTTATTTAATAAAGAAATAGAATATGCCATAGGTGCCGTGCTGTGATGTCCTCTTTATGAGCCAGAAATCATGGCCAAGAGTTTGGTTCCAAGTCCTTGGAGCATCCCTGACTTGAGCATCCCTTGACTCATTCCCCCTGAGAATGGGGAGGGTGGAGCTGTGCCTCCCTGTGAGCATCACCCCACAGGAAAATCCTAAAAGCACTGAATGCTTTGGGTTGGAAGGGACCTTAAAGACCAAACCCCTGAAATGGACAGAGATGCCTTCCACAAGATCAGGTTGCTCCAAGCCCCATCCAGCTGGCCCTGAACAATTCCAGGGATGAGAAGTCCACAGTCTCTCTGGGCAAAATAAGAGGTGACTTCAATAAGAGGAGGGAAAGGGAAAAAACTGTCCTTCTTTAGGTTGCAAAAACAGTGAGAAGGAAAAATTTAAGATCTCATCTGTTCCTCTCAGTCACAGTAGTGCAAATTAAGGAGGCAAAGACCAAAGATTCAGAGCAGTCTGGGGTCACCCATACTCCATCCTAACCCCTGTCAAGGGTAGAATTTATCCTCCTTGGTGTAAGAAATCAAAACACTGTTTTCAAGAACATCCTTCCCCACTTCCATCTCTGCCCTTCAGCTGGTGGAAATGAACCCTGAAGTTGCTCCAAGTTTGCAAAATGCACACACAAGGCAATCCAGAAGGAGAAGTGCATTAAGAGACTTTTATGAAACAAATGCAAGTAACAGAGACAGCCCTAAAAATGCTCTTGAGAGCAAGCAGTGCCCTCAAACTGGGCTGAAATCAGGTGAGCTCCCAGCAGCACCCACAGCCTCCTTTTGTCTTTCATGGGCCACTTCATACATCTACACAACACTGGCACAGGTTGCCCTGAGTTGTGGATGCCTCATCCCTGAAGTGTTCAAGGCCTTGTTAGATGGGGCTTGGAGCAACCTAGTCTGGAGCTTTGTTAAAAAACAGTGCATATTTCGTACCCCCAAAGTTTGGCTGAATAGGAGAAATTTGCCTTTAAACATCCATTTCACCATTAAAATGCCCAGTTTATTCAAAGTCAACACTGTAGAAAGACCCAACTCAGCATCCACCTGCACATTTTTGGCTTGGCTTGGGATTATTCAAAATTCATCGGATGCTCATTAGAGGTTTGAAAACTTTCCTTGTTTTCCCAGAGCAGTCATGATAATGCTCATCTGCTGGGGAAAAAAAAACTGCAAAAAAAACCATCCAAAATTTCAGTCTTCAAAAATCAGTGACTTTCCAAAAGCAACACTTCACATTTGCTTCAAGTTCTCACCAGATGCTGGGGTGGTCAAACACCCTCCACAGCACTTTGCTGGTTTGGTTCCTATACAAGAACACACCAGGAGCTCCCTGGAGCTGGCAAAGCTCTTCCCTGACAATTATGAGCTGTTATCTCTGTGTGGTCTTTGATTATCACTTTGCAAAGGCCAACAGTTGATTAGCTGAGGGGAGGGGAGGAAAAGGTTGGGTTGGGATGGGCTGCTGTGGAATTATGATACCTAGCCAATTTACCTCTGAGTCAAAGTTTATGGGTTTGAGTACTAAAACCAGCTTAAAAAGAAAAAAAAAGGCTGCAATTCCCCCTCAGTTGGGCCTTCTGGTGATCTTGCCCTTTAACCAGGACATTAATCAAATTATAGTGGTTGTGCCTAAGGTGGAACTTCACCTTTAATGTAAAGCATCTTATTATGTTTGGCCAGATTCAGTTCAATCAAAAAGTCTAAAGTTTAGTTAGGTTTCTTTTATAGCCAGTGGGAAATAAAGCAGCTTTTGGAACACAGCTGTTCTGTCCTAGTCAAACAAAAATTTCAGGACAAGATAAGTTATACCCTTAACCCATGGCTACAGTGGACCCTTGACCAGAAGGGAAGTGCAATCTGAGCATCCCTCTCATATGTAGACTGTCCTTAAATGGGGGATTCTCCTCCTCTCCAGATCTCTTCTGCTTATGGCAGTGAAGTGGAAGGATCATCCTGTTATTCCTCTCCACCTGCCAGCTGCTCACCACTGCTTGGCTCACAAGAGTTATTGTCCTGCAGAATGGCTCCTCAGTCTGCTTGTGCAATCACCCTAAACTTGGGGCTGGCAACAGCCTCCTGTTTCCAAGACAAGAAAATCTGATGTTAAATATTGGAAATTTAGAATGGATTCTTTGGAAACCATTACGTGGCTGCATGAATCCACTGGAAAAGAAAGCTGTGTGGGAGGGAAAAAAAGATTGAAAACCTGTGTGTGGAAGGGCTGCCTTGATCTTTTCAGAGGATGATGGAGATAAAAGAGCTCCTCAGTACAGAAAGGGTACAAGGAAGGCTGAAGAGCACGACTGGTGTCTATTGTAGTCACACAAGAGAGAAGGAGAGAAACTATCACCACAGGAACTGTTAAAAAGCAGGGTAAGGAAGGACACTTTTATAGCTTTCCGTAGCTTGGTTGTGTGTACTGTTTTCATCTATCAATAAAAAAGCTGAAGCCAAAGGACTCAGCCCAAGCCATCTGCTAAAGTTATCTCTTTTCTGGAAAATCTTAACCCAGCATGAGTACTTTATCAGCTGCTCCCAGGCAGTGACTGTACTCTATTAGGAGTCCCAAACTGTGTGTATCTGCAAGGAGAAATCAAAAATAACTGGGGCACAGAGATGTTTCACAGCAGAGGAGCACTCCCAGCAAACAGCCATCAATCACAGCTCCCTGCAGCCTCCCTGCTCCTTCCCCATCACGCCACAGCGGGGAGATAACCACAAGCAGAAGAGAATTTGGAAAGTTCGCATCTCCTTTGGAGTGTTTGCGTCTGCTGAGGAGGTGGTTTGTAGAGAGCCCAAAAGATGACGCACAGCACAAGGCAGCCTGTGTTCCTGCTGACCTCCAGACACCAACTCACACAGGTTACATCCTGGTCAGCCTTCCTGGCTGCTCTGGATGCTGCTCAGACAGCCAGAGGCTCCCCACTGACACGGACATACAGCAGCCTTCCCTGGAGCCAGTGGAATTCCTCCTGTCTGAACCACTCTCAGGGAGATGTGGAGAACTTTCTTTCTAGCCCTCTTTTCAGTTTTCATCACTGGCTCCTGCTCTTGTGCTTCTCCCTTGCTGACTTTCAGCCCAGCACCCTTCTCCTCTTTTACTCCTGGCTGGGATGACTCAGGCCCTCAGGACTCTTTTGACAGCCCATGGTATTTTCAAGCAACCAACATGTAAATTTTGGGTATCTCTCTTGATTTGGATTTCTCTCCTCATGGCTTTCAAGCAGCTTGGTGTTACACTTGCAAACTCAATCTCCTCACACAGAAGGAACACCCCTTAAAGGAAATCAGCTGGATGATCTTTAAGGTGCTTTCCAACCCAAGCAACTCTATGATTCTGGTGCAGAAGAGCCAGAAGGATGAGCCTGACAACATTCCTAATGATGAAGGCACTTGTCAGAGAGGAGCCCTGGCCTCTCCACATCTTCTCTCATCACTGCTCCACAACTGAAATGTCCAGACCATGCTGGGACCATGAGCAGTACACTCTTTACTAGTCCTGAGGAATAGAGGGAAAGGAGGAATGAAGGAGACAACAACCCCTTTGTTTTCCTCCTGCTTGATAGGCCTTTGAGATGAGACATTTTGTCAAGAGTATTTGTCAAGAGAGAAAGTAAGAAATTGAACCTTCACCTCCTGCAAACTACCAAGCATGTGAAGGACAAGGAGTGGCAGGTGTCTCTCCTTTCTTGTGCCTTTGCTGATGAAGGGGAGAGGAGGGTCACTGTATGGGCACTGCCAAAACAGCCTCCCTTGAAGAACAGCTCCTCAGATCCCTTCCTTATCCCACCCCTGTCAGTGACAGGCGGTCTGTGCCATGTGGCACTCAGTCACATTGAATTAATCCATCCCACTCTAATTAGCTCAGTAAGTCACTTCTGTTTACTGTCAAGAAATGCAGATGAGAAACGTGCTCAGCCCTGCAGAGCCTGCACACCATCCTGCCCGTCTGCAGAGAGGTCAGACACCTGCACATCTACAGAGAGGCCAGACCAGCTGCATCTCAGCTCAGCTTCTTGTGAGGAGCAGATGAAAGCTGACCCCAGGACCACCCTGCAGAGACACCCCATGGATTTCACACCACCTGAGTGTGCCCTGTGTGCTGCTCCTCACTCTGGTTTCACCCCAGGAGGAGCCTCTCAGATCTCTGCTGCTCAGAGTGACTCTGAGATATGTACAAACTTCTTTTTCCCAGCCCAGCAGTCAAAGGAGGAGTTAGGACTTTTCTGTTCTCGCCCTCAAGGTTGTTTATTGTATCTTATTTATAAAATTCTTTCTCTGACCCACCGAGGTCTGTCTCGCAGGTTGGGTTGATGCACTCTGCCTGCCCTGGGGCAGTGTTATCTTTTTATACTAAAAACTATGTGTACAATATTTACAATTACTTCCCAATACCTATCACCTATGTTAGACAGTGAGCTTCTACTCTAAACCAATCTAAAAATCATCACCCAGAAGATGGAGGCTAGGAAGAAGAAGGAGAAACACTGTACACGCCCAAATTCCTCCATCTTGGAACCCCAATCCCCCATTCTAAAAACCCCAAAAATCTATTTTTCACTCCGTGACAAATTCATTATCATTCTACTTAAACTCTCTTGACTTGTAATCCTTCATATAAGGTTGGTAATTGTTTTTTCCAAGGGCTCAATCAAAGGCACAGGGCTCTTGGGCTCTGTGCCAAGGTCTCTGAGCCCCCCTGACAGAGTCTGAAGCCCTCCAGGGCAGTCA